GCCATACCAGCCAGGGCTCCACTCCTTTATTTTCAAAAGAAATCTAATGTCTATAATATTTTTAACAGTGCTATTGAGATATAATTCAAATACTATACAATTCAGTCATTTAAAGTATACAGTTCAATGGTTTTTAGTATATTCACAACATCTGCAATATTATTCAAAGTTAAATGTTGCAAACAATGTAGAAATCATAAAAACTTACCCCCCCAAAATAGGACAATCACAAGGCCTAACAAGAACACTAAATTACTAGTTGGTTTTTCATAGTAGGTCCTTCACAAGATTGATATCTAGATTTTGTAAATTTCATGTAATGTGTTAATTTAATATAAATGTTACACATATTCTCAGTTCATATATTTAGTCCTAGCTTTATGTTCTCCCACGTGGAAATGTAAAGTGAGGCTACCAGTCCAATGAAACAGAAGTAGGTACTACCCAAACCCATGCACACAACTGATGAATGCAGGTACCCTAAATTCAAATCATTTTTTAGTTTAAACTAAAAATCAGGTATTCACTGCTTATGTTGAGCAACTTTGGGCTGCGCTCTTCTGACTGAATGCAGCTTCCAGACCACATGGCCCAAGCAACATCACACTCACAGCCAGTCCCTCTCTGAAACCCAGCAGCAGCAAAGAGCGCCCACCCTGCCCTGACCGGGGTGGCTCGGCCGGTTGGGCGCTGTCCCACACAGCAAAGTCTCCCGGGTTGAGTGCAGTCAGGGCACATGCCTGAGTTGTGGGTTCAGTCCCCGGTCAGGGTGCGTGTGAGAGGCAACCTTCTCTCTCACATCCATGTGTCTCTCCCTCTCTCTCCATCCCTTCCCCTTTCTCTAAAAATAAAATAAAACCTTAAAAACAAATGAACAAAGAGCATCCATAACCCCTTCCCAGTCAGCTAACCTTTTCACAAAGCACATAATCTCGCTAGGATCTAAGTGCTAAAGTTGCAACCATGGTTTAAAATAGCTGAGCTGTGCTTCCTGATTTAGCTATACCAACTACGTTGTTACAAGTCCTCACACAATTTCCATAAAGTCTAAGTCAATGATTAACACTGAGAATAAAAGCAAACATTTGCCCTTTGTTATATGAGGCCACAGTGTATTCTTTTCTTGTGTTCATTTGGTTCTTAGAGTATACATTAAATTTTGGCTACAGTTAAATTCTCCTGAACTTCCCAGAACCAGGATAAGAAGACAGCTCTCCCCAAAGAAAAACTTGGACACGATAGTATCGACAGCATTAAATCTCAATTATCAAAGTATTAGAGTAACAAAAGACCAACTGTCAAAACAGATGAGTAACATTAATAATGTATAGGACAGGTTTGGGACTCTACTTATTTGGAGCCATAGCATTAGCATTTACTGGCAGAAGAAAAACCAGACCCAAACTGACAGACTTCACCCTACCAGGTTCTAATTTTTCAAATAAATGAAAATAGCAATAGAAAACTGTTCTTATGTATCTCTACAAAAACTCAAGAATACTCTTCACCCATAGTCTTAAGTTTACAGGGCCCAGTTAAACACTAGTCCAACAAAAAAGTCAGTCCTCAGTCCATCAGCCAAACCTGCCAGGCCTTTTCCATTTGTGAAGAGAAAAAAAAAAAGAGTGAAGAATGAATAACAACACAGTTTACATTAGAGCTGCAGGACCAAAGTCTTACAGATTCATCACATGTTAAGTGAGAAGTATTTCTCATATCCTAGTAGTGTTAACTCAAAACCATATATACTTTTCTCAAAGTATTAATAATATTCTTTAATATCTCATTTTTCATATCCACTGTACATTTTTACTTGAATAAGTAGGAATTAAAAAAACTGTAAGTGAACATATCCAAAAGTGGGGTGGGAAGTGGGTACCTGAGTTCATCTTTTCCTCTGCTTCCAGCCCTGCTCTGACTCACGGCTGTTACACACATGAAGCAAATGTGTATAAACAGGAGGTCTGTAAGGAAGGAGCCCGGCCACCGTTATTGTAACGAGAATGGTTTGCAGGGCATGGGTGTGACCTGGCAGCCAAGGAGCGTGGACTGGAGTGTGCATGTGTGAACAATGACAACTTCATTGTAGTAGTCAGTGGGGACAGTAGATGCTGTTGTGTGAGCATGTGTACTGTGTGGCTGTCACGTTCAAAATGAGCAAGTAGAGCAACAAATCCGCATCAAATTTTCCATTAAACTTGGCCCTGGCTGGCGTAGCTCAGTGGATTGGGTGCGGGCTGCAAACCAGGCATCAAAGGTTCGATTCCCAGTCAGGGCACATGCCTACATGGCAGGCCACGGCCCCCAGCAACCACGCACTGATGTTTCTCTCTCTCTCTCTTTCTCCTTCCCTTCCCTCTCTAAAAATAAATAAATAAAACCTTTTAAAATTAACAAAAATTTCCATTAAACTTGAACATTCCTCTGCAGAAACTATTTTCATGATTCAGAGGCTGCAGCTGTGGACGACTGGTGATTGGCAGCTTCCTCACAACAAGCCTGCTCATGCATCACGTCTCGTGCAGAGTGTTTTGGAGAAACATCAAATTGCCCAGGTGATCAGCCCCACTACAGCCCAGATTTGGCTCCCCGAGACTTCTGGCTTTTCCCCAAACTAAAATCACCTGTGAAGCGGAAGAGCCTTCAGACCATCAATGAGATTCAGGAAAATATGACGGGGCAGCTGATAGCAACTAGGAGAACCATGTGCAGTCCCAAGGTGCCTACTTTGAAGGGGACTGAAGCATCATTGTCCTGTGTACATTGTTTCTTATATCTTGTATCTTCTTTAATAAATGTCTGTCTTTCATGTTGCATGGCTGGATACTTTCTGGAAAGACCTCATCTCATTCAAAGAAAAATACCAGCCCAAAGTTCAGAACCCCATGAGCCTAAACAGGTACTGTAAGAATCAAAATACTAATAGAAAAATCTTAACTTTTCTTACAAATGGCTTCTTCTACTGTTGCTTTGCTCCCTGGCTGAAGCGAAATAGCACACTCTTCTATATAGTCCACTGGTCTTATCATGACAATAACACATGGGTATGATAAATTAACAAAGTATAAAAACTGTGTCAAGCACCATTAAAATGTGTAAAAAGGTATAGAATCATCTCCCTCAAACCCCAGACTCCTAGTGCCTTTCTTGGATGTGACCACTGTCCAGATGCACATGAAGCCGTCCAGAAGCTCTCTAAGCCATGCAGGCATGTGTAAGTATGTCTATGCAGGGTATGAGTACAGAGAGAAATTATGAACAAACGGGTGGAAAACTTTGGAGAAAATATAAATTCCTGTCTCCATGGGATGAACATCATGGTCCATCAGTTTAAGTCACAGGGAAGAGAAACCTAGGAAGAGAATCTTTGGCCAATCACCCTTTTATTCTGTTCAAAGACAGAAAAAGCACTTGTCCTGCCTTCGGCGTAGCAGCAGCAGCTGCGTCCGGCCATTTAGTGTGCGAAAACAGCGCGCACCCCGCAAGGATTGTCGCTGGCCCGTCGACAGTCGCCAGTAAATTCGGAGCCCAGTACCTGTGAGAGCCCCACCGGTTCCCGGGAACCTCAGCCCCGACCACGCCGGCAGATTTGGCGATGCACCCACGCTCTGAATTTCGCTACCTCCTGGCATCCTTTAACTTGGGGGGACGCCGACACGAGACGCCACCTGCAAGTCCTCCCGCCTTTCCCACTCGGGGACTCGGGCCGCCCCTTCCCACACCGGCCTCCTTCCAGCTCCTAGAGATTTGAGTCCCGACCCTGTGCTCCCCCACCCCACCCACTGTGAGCTGACGGCTTCCCCCCGGAGGCCCAGCCAGCTGGGCTCCTGTCCGTCCGTCCGTCCGTCCGTCGTCGCCTCCAGGGAGCCCCGCGAGGGCGTCTCCGCTGGGGGCTGTGGTTTCCCACCTGCCCCGCCCAGGCGCGTCCACGCCCGCGCTCGTCCGCGGGCGCACGGCCGCTGGCACGCCCAGCCTGTGAGAGGGAGCACCGCTTATCTCGGAGACCGACTTCCTGCGAGGCTGAGCCCGCGACGCCGCGAGCCCGGCCGAGAACGCCGCGGGGCGCGGGGGCCGGAGGCCCTTCGGCCTGAAGAAGTGACGCAGAGCAGCGCCCGCGGCGAACACCGAGCGGTCCGTCCCCCGACTGCTCCAGTCGGCGCGGCGGCGCCAAAACTCGCCCCCATCACCCCGCGCCCCGCTCTCCCTACGCCGAAGTGCGGCCCTGCTGCGGTGCTTGCAGAAACCGAACTTTCCACGATCTTCACAGCGGCGACTTCGGGGCGCCCCTCGCGGCGCTTCATCGGAACACCCCAGTCTCCCGGGCACGGACAGAAACCCACCTTTCCCGTGCCACCGGCCTCCCGGCCACGACCCCGTCCCCGCCCAGGGCAGCAGCCGAGGGGCTGCGACGTGGCAGGAGCAGCAGGAAGGAGAGGGAAGGCGCCGGGTGCGGGGGCTGCGGAGAGCTAGCGCGACGCGGACGGTGGGGGCCCAGGGGGCCGGCGGCCTGCGCGGCGGAGGCGAGGACTCGGGCCCCGGGTGGCCGGGCGCGCCGACAGAGACCCGGACCTGACGCCGCACCGGCCGGGGGCGGGGGGCCGGGGCAGGCTGGCGGCGGTCAGGACACCCCACGAGGGTGGGCGGGCGGGCGGGCGGGGGCTGACAGCGGCGCAGACACGCGACCTGGACAGGTAGGCAAGGGCGGGGCAGGGCGGGGCGGACACCTGAGCCAGGCGCAGTGGGGTCCGTCGCGGAGCTGGCTGCACGCCCGACCGGACAGGTAGGCGTGGTGGGAGGGCCGGGCGGCGCGCTCAGTGGCCCCGGCAGGTAAGCCGGGGCACCCGACTGGGTCCGGGGCGGGGTCCGCGCCCCTCGCTCACGCAGGCCGGGAGGTCGCAGGCGCGCACGCCGGACCTGGGCACAAATGGGGCTCGGAGCGGGCTCGGGGGTCGGGGCGGGGACGGGAGAGGGGCCGGGGCGGGGCCGGCGCCCGCACTCACCCAGGCGGGCAGGTCGCAGGCGCGCACCCCCAAGCGCACCGCGCGCTCCTCGTCCTCCAGCAGCGCCAGGGCGCGGCACAGGCGGGTGGCTTTGAGGCCGCGGCTCCGCCGGCACCACACGAGCAGCCCGAGCGCCAGCAGCACCCAGCTGAAACTCAGGCCCAGGTAGCCGAGCGCGTACACCGGCAGCAGCAGCGCGAAGCTGCGCGCCAGCTGCACCAGCAGCCCCGCCACGTCCACGCTCAGCGCCGCGCCGGCCGGCTCGGCCCGCGCAGCGCCGGCCTCAGGTCCCGGGGCCCCGGCGTCGGTCATCGCCAGCGCCCAGCCGCGCTGCGAGCGCGTCCCGCTCCGCCGAGCAGCCTCAACCCGCGCTCCTGCGTCCCTCCGAGGGGACGGAGCCGCCGCTAGAGCCCGCCCGCGCTTCCGCCCGCGGGCGGCGTACGACGTCAGTGCGCAGGGCGGGCGAGGCGGAGTCGCGAGCCGGAGTTGTCTGGGCGCGGCTGGGTTCTGGGTGGGCGGGGCTGCTGTGTAGCGTCCTCGACGGGGTGGGCGTGTCCGGTGTTGACGTCATTGCGCGGGGCGTGGTGGGTACTCAGGCAGCAACCTGGTGCTGTCCGGGCCTCCGGACTCGTCGCTCCCAAAGGTAGGCGGGGCTTGTATGTGACGCCATCGCCGCGGTGGGCGGGGCGAAGGCTGAGGCGGGAGTGGGCGGGGTCGGCGAGGACGTCTTCAAGTTGGGCGGGGTGGGCGCTCCTGGAGCTGCTGGGCGCGGTCCTGGGCTCTGGGCACCTACTCCCACGGGGCGGGCCGGGCTGGCCGTCTCGGTCCTCTGGTGGAGGGGGCTGGGGGACCAGCCCCTGGAAGTGGGCGGGGCCTGCGTGTGGCTGCTCTGCGCTGGGTTCCTGGGCGGTGGCCCGCGGGGCGTGAGGCCTGGTGGGGCTGGTGGTGTGGCAGAGGCCAGTTCGGTCCTGGCTGCGGAGCGGTGCTGGCCGTTGGGGCGGCTCTGTCGTGTGCCTCTGGCCATCGGGGCAATGGGGGAATCCGGCCGAAGGCGTGGCTCTGGAGGGCTGGTGTGGAACCAGAAGTGCGCGCTCCTGCATATTGCAAACACTTGCCGAGTTTGGGAAGTTGCTGTTTGATATACTTTTAACATGTTAACAAAAACCAAACCAAACACGCTCCTGAGTGAGTGATAGTGCAGTGCCAAAAAGCTCTCGTCGTGCCGATGACGCCACAGCGTGAAGATGTGTTTCGTTTTGGAAATCGCAGCTATCTTAGAGATGAAATAAACACAAACTGGATGGGTCCCCTTTAGGTGTATGTGAAATGCAGGAATTTCGGCGCAGAGAACGTGTGTGCGAGGCGACTCAGGGCAGGATGTGCTCCTGCGAAAGAGGTTCACGCCCTGGCCAGTCCTGGCCCACTCGATGCTGGGAGGACTCGCTTAGCTCTTGCTTGTGATTTCTGAGAAACACAACAGCCCTGATCACTTTATTTTCCAGGAAACTCAATCAGTAATTTCCAGTTAACTTTTTTTCAGTATATTCAATAAATTCCAAGGAAATTTTAATTAAATTTATATGGATAGGCCTAGTTTCCCCCGCTCCCGCCTTACTCTTCAAATTTTGTTACTGGTAGCCTTGAATTACCACCTTTAGGAAGGTCAGGGACTATAGAAGAGAAATATAGCATGCTTAATGTTTTTTGAGTTCTTGGTTGACATCTGTTCTTCCCTGCCATATTGCAGTAGCTGCAGGGACAAAGCCTGGCGTCTTCAGGATGAAAGCGATGTTCCGCACACCATTTGCTGTGTGAGGTGAAGAGGACTGCCAACTACAGACTAAGCTGCAATCAGCTGTTAGGCTGGAGGAATCAGACTTAATTCACCTGGATGTTGGGGACACGTTTGTGTGCATCAGTCACTTTGGGAAACTCTAATAATTCCACTGGGAATTAATTTCCTTGAGTGCAATCATTGTGTTATGTTTACCACCACATCCTCAGGCTGGCACTGTGCCTGGCACAACAGGTGCTGAATGAACACACATACCTCTCTCCTCTCCTCATCTATGAGTCTGTATGCAATTATGTATGCATATGTGTATGTTGCTATGGAGACATAAGTGTGTATCTCAAAACCCTTGTTCTAGGGTTTAGAACGCTCAACTTAGGTGGAGGACACAAAATCTCAAAAAGAAAGTGGTTTTGTCTTTCTTATTCTTTACCAAACTACATTATGTAAGCTGTAATTACAGGGCTTGGGCAAAACTGGGCTTACAGTTTTGAGTAAGTGAAACAGTTTGTTCTTTTATTAGTAGTTATTAATTATTATTTTCCACGTGAACAACTGTAAACCTCCTTTTGCCCACCCCTGTAAAATGGTGTCAACCCTCTTCCTGTAACAGCTTACTGTTCAGGAGCCACCCTCACTCATGGCTAACTTATGATCTCACAACAAGTAACTGCTTGTTAACCCAGGAAGGAGCATGAGCCTTGCCCTGAAGAGCTGTAGAATCACATCCTACAGATAAAGACTGTGTGAACACAAGCCACATAAGAAATCCTGCATGTCTGCGATAAAGTATTTGACATGCAGGCTTAGGGACGTAAAATATGTGGGAGAAGTGTCCATGGTATACACCAATCAGCCTCCCAGCCCCAGCTGCCCTTGTGAGCCCACTTCCCTGTATTTGATCACATCAGCAAAGTAGAACACATCTCTCTGCACTGAGTCTAATAACAGGTGCAACTCAGTTCTTTGGTTCTCACTGGTGTTTTATTCCTTATACCCCTCATTCTCCTGTGACCTCATGTTACTTCTTTTCTTCCCTTCTGTGCAGACAACTCTGTAATGAAAACCTCTGCTTTCTCAGAGGAAAGAAAAGCATCATTGTGTGCGTTCTAGAACAAAGCTGAAGTTGCAGCCTCTGCTCTCATCCTTTGTCTTCAGAGAAAAGTGCTGCCTTCTGTTTAGGTTCAATCCCTTCTGCTTGGTTTCAGATCCCTTCCTGCCTAAGTCTGGCCCTTATCAACTGTCCCAGCCACCTCTTCTACCCCTCCCTGTCCCAGCTGCAACCCCAATACCTCTACAGAGGATTCACTGTATAGGTGGGAGGCACTCTGCCTCTTGTTCAGATTATTTAACAGTTGTCTGCATACTTCTTTCTCTTAGCAAGTACACACTGTGTTTTTTAGCTTTCTATCTCTAGCACTCTGTAGTTCCCATGACCTCAAATTAACCACTGTCATTCTGTCAACTAAGAAAACAGCTGACCCTGACAGTCATCCGTTGGCCTACTGCAGAAATGACCCTTCTCCGTCGCCTCAGTAAGTCATCTAAATGAAGATGATATTACAGGAGAAAATGTAATTGATTGGCAAAGGAGTTATTTATAAAATAATCATTTTAAGAAGTCTAATGAGAGATTGTTTTGAGCTTCCTCTATAGACGTTTATTTGGCAAGTATGTTGGGGAGGGGGGAAAAGTGAGAAAGAGGAAACATTTGCCAAGCCTGTGATTACAGTGCATTCGGGTGACTCTAGATTTCTCTGTTTGGTGATGCAAGAGATAGAAGCAGGGAGTGACAATAGATTCATGTGCCTGATGACTGGCTGCCATGCAGGATGGATTGGTAGGGGCTGGAATGAAAAAATATAAACAAGACATAATTTTCCTGCCAGGAGTTAGTGATCGCACTTGGTAGGTGAGAGAGAAGGGTCATTCGTGCAGTGTGCCTGCCAAGGACTGTCAGGATCAGCTGTTTTCTCAGCTGACGGGATGACGCTGGTTAAGAGAATGACTTGGCATCAGATCATCCACCACCCTGTGTGACCTCAGGCAAGCGAAGTAACCTTTCTGGACCTCAGTCTTCTAATCTGAAAAACTAACATGCCTACCTCCCATGGGATGCTGTGAGAATTAAGTATTACCAAATGGAGTTTTAGTTTGGTGCCTCCTTTGGGACAGTCCCTAAATAAATTGTAGCCATCGCTGATAATACCTTCCCTACCTTCCTTTTATGTTCTTCCTGAGTGCTGATGAGTGAAAATGAAAAGGGTAGGAGTGATATGTTCAAAACCAGAGTATATTAAATATGAAAGTCTTACTGGACCTATTAATGTCTCTAAGACAAGGAGCTGAGTAAATAAATGGCTTTTGTATCTGGAACACATAGATGGATCCATTAAACCGTAAACTGGTTCATAATAGTATGTAACTCAAAAATACAATGTCTGAAAAATAAATTTTGTATCTGCAGAAAAACGCTATCAAAAGCACAGACTATGGGTGACATGCTCATTGATGCATTGTAACATGATTAAAGAGTTTACTCTTTTTTGTGGGTGTGTGAAAACATTAAGTGTAATCTTTTCTAAGTACATTTGCATACTAATGAAATGCAAAACAGTCTCTGGAAACAGCTGAGTGAATTACAAGGCGCCTCACTGGAATGGGACAGGCAAGGCCCCATCCTGCACGAGATAAAATACACCTGAGATGCAGAACATTTTGTCTTCATAATTCAACTTTTGTTTCTAGTGTTGCGTAAAAAGACCTTCCAACGACTACTTTTTTAAATGCATTGATTCCTACCATTCTTAGAGGTTGTGTTTTATCAAATGACAACATACGGGAAATGATCTGTAAAGTGCAAAGCCTTATCCAGATGAATAGCTCTTTCCATCACCGACGGTCAATCTGCGAGGTCTGGACACGACACCTTCCCAACGAGTCAGGTCCCGGTGCCATCAGGCTAAATGGAGTCGGTTAAGCGGCAGCTGTGCCTCATTTCCCTCTTTTAGCTCCGCTCTTGCCTGCCCCACAGCCGGGTCAGCCCACCTTCGTTCCGCACGTAGGACTGCACTACTACTAGGAACCCAACAGGGCGGGAGACTCCAGCGCGGCCAATTTTCTCCCGTGCCCGCTCCCTTTCTGCCCGGGGAGTCCTAGGCCAGCGATCGCTCGGCCCTCCGCTGCTCTTGCCTGCTGTTGCTAGGAGTCGGGATCGCGCAGACGCGCCGTGGGTGGCCGGGGTCTGCCAGGCCAGCGGTAGCTCGGCTCTCCAATACTCTTGCCTGCCGGTTGCTAGGAGTCGAGGATACGCAGGCGCTCTGGGGAAGGCCGCGGGGCATGCCGGGCCAGCAGTAGTTCAGCTCTCCTCAGCGCCAGCCTGCCGGTTGCTAGGAGTCAGCGACGCCGGCCCTGCGGGGGATTCAACACCGCGGGCCCCTCCTACCCCGGCCTCGCCTGTGGCGCGTAGCGCAGCGCGCCTCCAGGGCCTGCGAACGGCGATGGAGTCCGGGAAGGTGGGTGCACACGGGCTGCGTCCCGGGTGAGGGAATGAATCTGGGAAGTTTGCGTAACTTGGTTAATTGGTCCAGACCCCCTGTGTCCAGTCCCCTGGCGGCCCTGGCTCCGGAACGGAATCTGGTCCAGGACGCGCGGAGGTCAGAGGTCTCCCAAGTTACCTCTGAGCCCCCGGGACTCTTACGGGCAGTTGTCCGTGTGTGCGATGTCAAAGCCCGTGCGTCGTTACCGCCTCCTTCTACCCTGCACTTACTGTCCACAAACCCCCTGACCTGTTGCCTTCGATCTCTTTCCGACCCGGTTCGGTTTCTAAGTGATCATATAGCCTAAGTTTCCCGTGATTTCCTGGCAGATTGCGTTTTAAAGCCGAAAACCAAACACTGTACTATGATCTCATGAGCAGTATTCACTGCAGACCCAAGCAGTGGGACTGGGCGGGGATGTTATTGTTGTCATTTGATCTTCGCTTTCAAAAAGAAGCGCGGGTCTACCTTCGAGGACATTTTCTGGTTTTTTTTTCGTGTTTCCCACTTTCTGCTTTCAACATTCTGGAACTCTGGTTCAGCCTCTGGTTAGCTGTTGGACTGGAGGCTGGACTGACTAGTCGCGCTGTTGCGCGCGCTCTCTCTCTCAATGTGTATGTATTCTGGGAGATTTCTCCAGCTTTATCGTTAGCTTCATCTACTTACATGTTTTATGTTGCTAACTTGAATTTTAGGAATTCTTGTTTTCATAGTGCTCCTTTGTGTAGCATATGTTTTAACTTGTGCTTATAACATTTTTAAGATCTTTCCAAGGATATAACTTTTATGATGTCTTAAAAATAAAGATTTCTCTTTATTTTCTTGGGTCATTTTCCTTTTTCGTTTATCTTGATTCGTTCTTGTGTTGTTTTTTTCTCAAATGCCTGACTGACCTCTCATGTTTAGGAATGAAGCGCCCGATTAGTCAGAGTAACTAGTTTGGGTGTCAGGCCATGGCGCCCACAGGCTGCAGAGTGACATGAGGAAGGGGAGGGCTGCGTGCTCTATGCTTAGCCCGAGCTCTGGAGCAACGTGGACATTGACGTTGTGAAGTAGCCAGAGGAACACGTTCTGTAATCATTTACATGTAATTTAAACTAGTGAATACTTTTTAAAAATCTGAATTTCTATTACCTTTTATTCTGGTAGATAGACAGTAATTTCTCATGTAGGAAGGACTAATCGTCGTTGGTTAAAATGGTCTAGTGAAAAGCAGCTTCCTAGGGCTTGCAAAATTGGTTATTTTAAACTTAGAAAATGCTAACTTTATACTTTTCTTTTTAGAGAAGATCCAAAGATGATACATGGAAAGCAGATGACCTCAGAAGACACCTTTGGGTAATGTATTTCAAAGGTCTGAGCCTGGGTCCAATTGGGTTGGAAAGTTTTTTCTGGCTTTCAGCCCTGCACAACTTTGCTTCCATGTGGCTCATTTCAGGGGCATTTTTGTTGTTATTTTTGTATTTGGTTTTTAATATTTCAGGGGCATTTTTGTCTCAGGGGTCAAGCCATGAGGTTAGTAGCTCTGGGTCTGTGGGGGGAAAGGGTTCCTAGCCCAGCCAGCATCTCACCAGCCCTCCAGTTCTGATTGTGGTTCAGAGCCCAGGCCGCATGTGTGTACCCCTGTGGTGTGTGTGTGGTGTGCATATGTCTGTGTGTGTATGGGGAGGGAGGCTTGGAAGTTGAAATAGAGACCCCCTGAGAGTTTATAAGAAGGGTCCTTGTTCTTAGAGTGGAACTCAGGTGGGCTGTGTCTCGGGACTGTGACACAGCTTCAGTGTCCATTCTTTTTCTTTCTCATCCATGTAGTGTTTTAGATTTAAAACAAACGTGACAGCATGTGTGAGTGTGTCTTGTAAGTGATCTCTAGTCATACAAATGCTAAGTGTGATTCCCGCCTCGGGTGTGGAGACTCCCACCCTTTCTGTTTGGGGGGGAGTGGTTTCTAAGGCCCTTTACTGAGCATTCAGAAGCCCTCCCTTTCTCTTGTTCTAGGCTACACAGTCAGGGACTCCCAGGGAGGAGAAGAAGCACAAGGAGAAGAAGTTACATAAGGACTTGGACACAGACGTCCCGGACCTCAAGGATCAGAAGCCCAGGGACCCAGACCGGGAGACCAAGCGCCGAGAGAGGGTGGCGGACAGAGACGGCCACAGCTCCAGAGAGCATCCCCATGGGAACAGAGACAGGGAGAAGCCTCGGGAGAAGAGAAGGGATGCCCAGGACTGGGACAGAGAGCGGCTGAGGGACGAGGCCCGAGAGCAGGACGTGGAGAAGCACCAGAGCCGAGGCAAAGACCGGGAGAGGGAGAGGGACCGAGAGCGTGACCGAGAGCACCATGCACGGTGGGAAGAGCCCAGGCTGGCCACCACGCACCACAACCTGCTGGGCCTGGACACACGCAGGCTGCCCCCCGACCTACACAAGCACAGGATGCGGTCAGGTGCGTGTCCGGGGCTGTGTGGTTCCTGTGCCATGGCCTGTCCTGTGGGGCACGCCCCTCTGAAGCGCTTACTCCCCACGCTGTCTGTCCTCTCCCTTGGTTTTCAGGTGGCTCAGCTTTGCGGGGAGTTGTGCGCCAGTAGAGCTATGTGTTCTGCACAGTGGTTTCCTTTTCCACATTTAAAACTCATCTCAGTGAGTGAAGAGAGTAACAATTTTCTCACCTTTTGCTGGAGTTTTACTATTGAAACATATTTCAGATGAATTCTCCCAGTAAATCTCAATCCATGTTATAGATAAACAAAAATTATGCTGTTTGATAAAAGAATTCCTCAGAAGTGTCCATTTTATTTTAAGCAATATTTAACTATTTTTCTGGATCCCTAGGAATTCTAAAGTAAAGGTGCTTCCCTTCTCCCCCATGGAAGTTTCTTTACTGTTTTTTACTATACAGATAGTACATGCTTCTTGTGAAAATGCAGCTGGCCGACATAAACATAAAAGGAAGACATAGAAGGATGTGTAGTTGCTCTTAGAACCATCTGGAAGGCCGAGGGCCCTGCACCTGCCTGTGCACCTGCCCATAGGGGTGAGGCTCTGGGAACACGTGGTGTCTCTCTGCTGGGTGTGGTGCAGTTAGGGGCAGACTCGTGGGTCTGCCAGGTGATAGCGTCTGGTCTCATGGTTCAAACACTGTTGTGAGCTCCTGGTTTCCCAGTTCCGCTCCCTAGCTGGGCCTCATCCTGGATGTCAGGTCTGTGTATCCTGTACCTGGTGTCTGATACGGCAAGCATCAAGCACCCTGAACTGAACTTCTGACAGCCCCACAACCCTGCTCCCGCAGCCTGGCCCACGGGCATCTGCACCGTTGGTCCTCAGGCCTGAGCACGTGGGACTCTCCCCACCCCCAGTCTTTCTCCTGCTCTCTGTGGGAGCCTGGCCGTCTCACCCTCCTCTCCAGCTTCCCCCACAGGGTGCCTCTGGGTAGCCCTGACCCATTGTTTTGATCTCTTGGACCTCAGGGTCCTAGGCAAGTGGTCAGTGCTCAGCGAATGCTGTTTGAAGGAATGACCTTTGTTTCGATGGTTTCTGGGTGTTTAACGCAGTCCTCATCTTGTAAAATGTTAATTCTCTTCATTTTAAAACCAAGGACTTTTGCCCGTGTGGATTCAAATGTGAATGTCCAGTGGTTCGCTCTTGGATGGGGCTGTGTGTGTCCTCTATGATTGTGTGTGGCTCTGCTGGTCCCTGTGGCCTCTCACCCTGGTGGCCGGTGGGGGTGGGTGGCTGCGATGGCTGCTGGTGGCGTCCTCGGCTCAGGGTCTCCCGCCTCTGCAGTGCCTGCAAGCAGTAGGGTGCCCTGCTCACCCCAAGGTGGCATCGACTCCCTTGCAGCTGAGCACCTGGCGGAGACGTCCGCCCGACGGGCCCGTGTTTCTGGACCGGCTGTGTTGCCATGAGCACCTGCCGGGGACTCGGGGACCCCGAGGTGTGTGCATGTGTCTGGTGCCTCCAAGTGTCCAGCAGTTAGTTTTACTTTTTCCCAGTCGCCTCAGTAGCAGTTGCCACTGTCGTCTCCTTTACCCCACTTTCAGTTTAGATCCTCTGCCTTTCCATTCCTGAGGCTGCGGAGTGTGTTGTCATTGGAGAGCACGTGTTCCTGTGTTAATACATGATGTTGGAATGTAGCATGTGCTGTAAACACTGCGGCAGGGTGTTAGGAGGCTGTTTTGATGTCTGAAGTTTGGGAATGTGAAAAGTATGTTTTCTTTTTGCAGTAAGTAAAGTAAGGGCTGAAGAGAAGGAGAGGAGAGAGGAGGAGTCAGAAAGAGACGAGGAGAGAGAAAGAAGATACCGGGAAAGGAAGGTAGGTGGACCAGCCCATACGCCGCGGGACAGGTGCCGTGTTGTTACAGGAGGCGTGGTGGGAGTTTCCTAGCAGGGACTCGGCCGAGCAGACACCAGGGGGGTGAACCCTGCATTCATTTCCTGGGATCACTTCTGGGAGGGAGCGCACCTGGTCAGAGTTAACGCAGCTGTCCCCCCGCGCCTCCCTTGAAGGCTGCAGTTACCTGTGTCCGCGGGGTGCCAGCCAGCGTCTCAGCAGCCATGTCCCGGGCAGCGGCAAGACTTGGGAGGACGGTCGGGTGTGATGTCTGGAGGTCTGCGGCAGGTGCACCCTCCTGGCCTCGGGTGTCTGACACACACACACACACACACACGGCGATGCTGTCCCTGCCTGTGTGTGCCTGCGCCCTTTCTGGTGGAGTCTTTCATTTAACGGCACTTTAAAGATGAACTCTGCTCACCATTGTGTCACTACTTTTTTAAAGATTTTATTTATTTATTTTTAGAAAGAGGGGAAGGCAGGGAGAAAGAGAGGGGGAGAAACATCGATGTGAGACAGAAACATTGATCGGTTGCCTCTTGTACACGCCCTGACCAGGAATTGAACCCACAACCCAGACACGTGCCCTGACCAGGAATCGAACCAGTGACCTTATGTTTTGTGGGACTAGGACCAATCCACTGAGTCACACTGGTCAGGGTATCTCTGTGTGTTTTGAATTTTACTTGTGGAATCTCTGCATTTCAAGTTTAAAATTATGATGTGATTGAGGTATAGAGCCCCTTCACACCAATGTTAGTCACCTATGTTTTGTTCTGGACCCTTAAAATTATTTTTAGGACTTAATGGGGATTAATCTTTAATCCCCATTGAATTTGTTCTGGCAGTAGGCAAGCAGTAGACTGAACCAGGGAGTTTGGTCAGGGGCTTGTCGACATGTTTTCTTGGGAAGGACATCCCGCAGAGATGAGCAAGGTGGGGGCCCGGGGACGTCAGGGTCCACGGGAAGAGAGACGTGCGGGGGATGGAGATGGCGGGGGTGGGCTGTGCAGTCAGAACCCTTGGCGGGGGCACAAGCAACCCGAGAGCGCCGCCTGGTGTGCGTGGAGGTTCGGTTTGGGTTCCGTGGGGAAGTGTTGATGATGCTCCCTGAGCCCACCGAGAGTTTGAGCCCAAACACCACACGGGGCAGCCCAACCTGCAGCCCAGCAGCCACCACCTCGAGATGGTGGTCACGTCATCACTGAGCATCCATGGTGGTCTGGGGTGCAGGGATGCCTAAGCCAGGGTGCCTGGTCTTAAGAGGGTCCTTGTGTGTGGGGCGCAGATGTGTGAACTGCCACGGAGACAGCCCAAGGGGCACCTGTGGAGAGTGCCACGGGAGGGCCTGAGTGTAGGTGCAGCCTGGGACGCCTGGGTGTTGGGGGAGGGTGAGCAGGCCGACAAGAACAGGCTGTGAGGCAGGCTGGACTATGCCGGGCGAGGGCGGTGGGCTGCAGGGTCGTGCTGGCCTGTGGGGGGGCTGGCGGAGCAGCAGACTTTTCTTCTGGAGTGCATGTGTAGGAAGGTCCCTACGGCGGGAGAGAGGTGGGGGGGGCAGTGGGGGCTGGCCCCCCGTCTTTGTGGTAATGTGCACGGGAGATGGCGTGCGCTCCTACATGCTCATGCTCTTCCCGCTGTGCCCCTTGGTAGTTGCAGTACGGCGACAGCAAGGACAACCCCCTCAAGTACTGGCTTTACAAAGAGGAGGAGGGGAGAAGACACAGGAAGCACAGAGAGCCCGACCGAGGAAAGAAGCATCAAGAGAAAAGCAGCACCAGGGAGAAAAGGGAGCGGCACTCGAAAGAAAAAGGCAGCTCACTCTCTGAAAGGGAAGGGGACGCAGGGCACAAAGAGAAACGCCATGAAGAAGGCCTCCACTTCAGTGACGAGAGGCACCACAGTCGTGGGGACAGAAGAGAGAGGTCGTCGAAAGAAGAGCGCAGGAAAAGGGAGCCCAAGGTGCGTGTCTGGGGCTCCTCGCCCCGAGGCCGCCCCAAGCGGCCCCAGAGCAGGAGGCGCGTCTGGGCGCAGTGGGGGGCGGCGGCGAGCCTGGTGGGCTGGGGGTCCCACGTCCCCGCGTCAGACGTGGTCACACCCGTGTTGTGTGGTCAGTAGAGATTCCTGACCCCGGACGTGGGGAGCTCAGATTTCTAACACATACTCAGAAATCTATCATAAAAGTTTGAAATGTAACCCTGAAGAGGAAGCTGGTATTTTTTTTAAGTGCAAATTAAGTGAGTAATTTAGAAAATGTTTCAACCAGAGTTGGTAGTCTGAGTTTGCCGGCAGAACAGAACAGAACACACACAGAAGTATGGACCCCAGAGGGTCCAGTCTTCCTCCCGTGTGTGAGAGGGATCACTGTGACTGCTTCGTGCCTTCCTGCGTTCCCTTCAGTGTGTTTTGTTTCCTGTCCACGCTTTGGCTGCGTGGCTCATCCAGACTCCAGGGTGGGTGTGATTCCATGCTCCCTCCAAGACGACGCAGAGCTTCCCCAGGGACGGGGCAAGGACCTTGGGGTGCCCTGCTCGTCCACTGACCTTCCTCTGCAAACACAGGCATGCGTTCGTCCCAGGAAAGTCTTCTGATGGCTCACAAACTCCCTTTTTTAGACATTGTTCATAGTTATGAGTGGCCACTGTTGCAGATGCTGAAGACACAGCTGTGAGCAAAACAGGTTTTAATTTCCATGGTGCTTCTGTATTTTTGGAGAAGCCACACGTTAGAGAGATGAACCAACAAGTAGGTACCATCACATCAGGAGTGGTTAGCAAGCATCATGTAAGGAATGCTTTTCTTGGCGTTGACTTCCAGGTACTGAAATACACTTTGCAGCTTAGTTGTGAGCTAGCCTGGAGGTTGACAGAGTTGTCCCTGAAGTGACTGTGACGTGTAGGGTGCCTCCTACCGGGACTGCAGGCGTGGAGCAGGGCTGGGCCCGGCCGCAGCCCGGGGCTGCCTCTCGCTCCTGCAGGACTCGGCCTGTATGTCCCCTGTCTGCCTCCTCCAGTCCCCAGCTGGAGGGCGAGGGTGTCAGTCAGCAGAGTCTCCGACGGCAGCGACCTGGAGAGACAGCCTCAGCAGAAGCACCAACGACCTCCCGCCTCTGCTGAATGTGGGGTTCTGCTCCCCTCTGCTCCAGGGGTGGCCCTGTCCCTTGTCTCCATGAGCCCCTCCTGTGTCCAGCCCTGGACGCTCCCTGGCCCACGTGTCCTGAAGCAGGGCCCTGAGCACAGGCGCCAGCTCCCCACGTGCCCGGAGTTGGATGTGGGGGAGGACTGTGTCAGCACCAGCCCTCGGTGGACGTGTCCCCCTGCCGTACTCCGGGCCCCAGGTGCCCCCCCCTGCACAGGCTGCACAGCCCAGGGCCGTGCTGCTCCTGCCAGCGCTGCTGAGTCCATTCTCAGTCCACTCCCATCGCTTTTACAGACCGAGGCCAGACTTCCTCCCGTTACATGTACTTTCAGAGAAGGTTTCCACGCAGGAACAGGAAAGTTACCCGTGACCCCGACCGCGAGACGACCCCAGGAGGCCCGCGTGCTCGGGCTCTCGGCCCCTCCGCCTGCAGGCGGCCTCTCTGGGGTGCGGCCTCAGAGCCGGGCTGCTGTGTCCGTGACCTCTGGGGACCGCCTTCTGTCGCGGGGCACTTCACAGCCAGCTGCTGTCCAGTCCTGTGGGCCTAACCTCGGTTACTTCGAAAGCAACCAGATGCTGAACATGCACTCACCGATTTTCTGGGATGTTATAAATTATTCTCTGATGAACACAGTGAAAATCTTAACGTACGTCTTTGATCGTTTTCTAGAAATAACTTCCTGGAAGTAAACTTACAGGTCAGAGAAGGTCTCTGGATGCTTCCAGCTCGCGCCAGGGCTCTGGGTGCGCGTTGTGCACGGCCCTCGGACTGGCAGCTCAGGCCCCGCTCGCTCTTCACTGGGCCTGGCGACCCCCAGGCCCGCGCTCCTCCCGCGCCCCGAGGGGGCGACGCCCTCCCGGGTCTCTGTCCCCAGCCAGCCGTGTGCCCCCCCACCCCCCCACCCCCGTGGCACTTCCTGCCCGCATCTCCTCAGCCCAACTATACACGCCCGTTGACTCATTCTGATGCTTTTTATTTAAAACAATTCATTAATGTAAGAGGAGGTTAACTTTTTTCCTACAGGTGCATAGATCTGTGAGATAGCCACATTCCAAATGTTTGAAAGTTTCCCTTTAAGCAGGGGGAGGAACTGCTCCTACTTCCCTGAAAAGAACGTGAAACTGGCAAGCGGCTGTTTTATCTACTGAGCTCAGACGCGATCGCCTTTTCATACACGCACCTTTCTCCATTCATCCCCTTCCACGGTCACCTAACTCGCTAAAAATACTCATGGCAACAGTTGTGAGATGCCCGTGGCGCAGTTTCTTGTTAAATGTTGAGCCTGTGCTTATTTTACAGAGTTTATTAATGACGGTTCATTCATTGTGACTTACTGACTAGTGGTGGTGGGATTTCTTCTCTTACAGAACGGTGAACACAGAAAGCAAGGTGGAGGCTCAAAGAGAGACGGGACTGGCGGCCAGTAAGGGACCCGCGTTCTTTGGGTGATCATTGCGTGCCACACGCAGACACTGTAGCCGGCTTTCCGCTGGGCCCAATGAGAGCCGGTGAGCGGCAGTGAGCAGTGACTGTGCTTCACTGGCGCCCCACACAGCCCTGCAGACCGCGTCTCAAGTGCACCCGAGGGCTCGGGGCTGGTTTCAGAGTGTCCGTCCGCTTTGTATTTGCTCACACAAAATCAGAAAGTCAGAGCTCGCGCCGGGGGCATGCTCGTTGGTCAGGCAGACCAGCCCTGGAGCGTGGAGCGTCTGCAGGGGCTGGGGGTCCGTGTGTGCACTGAACACACGCTTGCCCCCAGGCCCCCAGCCCCGGGCCCACGGGAGCAGTGAGGCCCCGTGGGAGTTAGAGTGCGGGTGCCGGCACCCGGCTGCAGGGAGGGCCTGTTCGCCTTTCTCTGGGGGCCCTTCAGGGCCTGCTCTTCACTGAAAAATACCTGCTCTGTGTGGGTTTCGTGAAGGTCACAGAGTAGAGTTTGTGTATCAGCCATCTTGTATATAAGCTCTGGATTTTCATTTGCCCTTTGTGGCAGCCATATTTGGTCATTTTTCTTTTTTACATTGCATTTTTTAAAAATATATTTTATTGACTATATTATTACAGTTGTCCCATTTTCCCCCTTCACTCTCCTTTGCCCTGCACACCCCCTCCCACCCACATTCCCCCCCTTTAGTTCATGTCTGTGGGTTGTGTATATAAGTTCTCTGGCTTCTACATTTCCTCTACTATGCTTACCCTCCCCCTTTCTCTTTTCTACCTGCCATCTATGCTACTTATTCTCTGTACCTTTTCCCCCCTCTCCTCCTCCCACTCCCCTGTTGCTAACCCTCCATGGGATCTCCATTTCTGCGGTTCTGTTCCTGTTCTAGTTGTTTGCTTAGTTTCTTTTTTTGTTTTAGGTGTGGTTGTTAATAATTGTGAGTTTGCTGTCATTTTACTATACACGTTTTTTATCATCTTTTTCTTAGATAAGTCCCTTTAACATTTCATATAATAAGGGCTTGGTGATGATGAACTCCTTTACCTTGACCTTATCTGGGAAGCACTTTCTTTATCTGCCCTTCCATTCTAAATGAAAGCTTTGCTAGAGAGAGCAATCTTGGATATAGGTCCTTGCCTTTCATGACTTGGAATACTTCTTTCCAGCCCCTCCTTGCCTGCAAGGTCTCTTTTGAGAAATCAGCTGACAGTCTGATGGGAACTCCTTTGTAGGTGACTGTCTCCTTGTCTCTTGCAGCTTCTAGGATTCTCTCCATTTTAATCTTGGCTAATGTAATTATGATGTGCCTTGGTGTGTTCCTCCTTGGGTCCAAATTCTTTGGGACTCTCTGAGCTTCCTGGACTTCCTAGAAGTCTATTTCCTTTGCTAGATTGAGGAAGTTCTCCTTTATTATTTGTTCAAATAACTTTTCCACTTGTTTCTCTTCCTATTTCCCTTCTGGTACCCCTATAATTCAGATGTTGGGATGTTTAAAGATGTCCTGGAGGTTCCTAAGCCTCTCCTCATTTTTTTGAATTCTTGTTTCTTCATTCTTTTCTGTTTGGTTGTTTCTTTCTTCCTTCTGGTCCACACCGTTGATTTGAGTCCCAGTTTTCTTCCCATCACTATTGGTTCCCTGTGCATTTTCCTTCATTTCACTTAGTGTAGCCTTCATTTTTTCTTTTCATCTAGTTTGCGACCAAAATCAACCAATTCTGTGAGCATCCTGATCACCAGTGCTTTGAACTGTGCATCTGATAGGTTGCCTATCTCTTGCTCACTTAGATGTATTGGCTCTGGAGCTTTGGTCTGTTCTTCCATTTGAGTCTTTTTTTTTAGTGTCTGGTTGCACCTGTTACATATGAGGGGTGGAGCCTTAGGTGTTCACCAGGACGGGCAACCCAGTTGTTGGGTTGTGACGCTGTATGTGGGGGTGGGTTCCGAGAGGGAATAATGGCGCTTGCTCCGCTCTCATATTTTAGTCCCTTCCCCTGCTTCCCACAAGCAAATAGGGCCCCTCTGGTGCTGGTTCCCGGGTGGGTGGGCTTGTGTACGTTCTAGGACCCCGTGGGTCTCTCCAGTGAACTCTCCTGTGAAGCGGGAAGTCTCTCCTGGCACCTCAGCCCCCACAAGTGTTTCCAGGCCGTGCTTTTAGGCTTTATTTCCTGGCGCTGGGGCCCTGGGTTGCACAGTCTGTCTTGCTGCCTGTTTTTGCCTGGTTCATCTGCGCATGAATGTGTGTCTGCGGTCAGCCAGTGGCCTTGTGCGCCCCACTGGGTCTGCCCACTGCGACCCCCCTCTGCCAGCCACCGACTCTGCCCCTCCTACTGGTCTGGATGAATGGTTGTCAGACTTCCGTACAGTTCACTTTTCTGTCAGATCTGGTTAGTTTTTAGTTTCTGAATTTTTGTTGTCCTTAATTTTGGTTGTGCAAGGAGGCACAATGTGTCTACCTACGCCTCCATCTTGGCCGGAAGTCTGGTCATTTCTTTTCACATTAGGAAAACTCGGGCTAAATGCCTTGTCCAAATTCTTGCAACTTTGAACAAAGCTAGCACTGAGCCCCAGTGGGTGGGGACAAACCCCCGGCCTTTGCACGCTGCTGACGAGCCGGAACGCACGGGCGCCGTGCTCAGCCCGGTGTCCTGGACCCCATGCTGCACCGGAGGCCGTGAGTAGCTGCCAGCAGTGGAGAGTCTGCTTGACATTTCGAAAGCCTTAATTTTAGGTCCCAACCAACACGGAGCACATGATTAAAAAAATAGAACATTTTAAGATCAGTCTTTCTTTTGGAAATGCAAATATTACACTAAACATAAAATAACATCTGGGATTGATAACGAAGCTGGAGGAGTTTTCTAACTCTCACAAGGGTGCAGACTCGCACTTGCATCTGTGGAAACAGAGTCTTCTCGCCACTGGAGGAGCCCTGCGCCCTGGGTCGCTTGTAGACGGCGGAGCACGAGCAAGGCCCGCGTGCTCGCAGCTCACCAGGCACGCTGCGGGGGTCTGCCCCTCGCAGCAGCTCTGAACCTCGCCGGATGTCATGAGTCTGCACTGACGTGTGAAATGTTCTGGGTTTTGAGGGTTTACTTAATGTTAACTTTGGTTTTGACCGTGTTTTCTCCCCAGGCACGCAGAGACCGCGGTGAGGAACGGTGGGAGAGAGAAGGAGGTGAGGAGGAAGGTGAGGACCACTCTCCCCGGGCCACTCCAGGCCACTCTCCCCGGGCGGTGAGGCCGGCCGGCCGGCCGATGTTTGCCTGGGGCAGGCCTCGTGTGCAGGCGGTGAGGCTGGGGGCTGAGTCCAGGAGGCTCGGAGGAGACGCTCCGGACTCAGAGACACTGAGAGTAGGAAGGTGGACGAGAAGCCATCAGACAGCAGCTGTCCCAGAGCACGAGTGGCTGGGCCGGGGGGACATTGCGTGATGACGCAGACGCTGGCTCACGGGAAGTGGGGCAGAAGGACTGACGGCACGACCGGGAGGACCGGGGGATGCAGTGCAGCGTTTCGTTGTGACGCAGGCAGCTCAGGTGGACGTGTGAACCACCGAACCGGTCTCAGGCGGAAGTGGCAAGTCTGGGCCGGCCTGTGGTGAGGGAGGAATCGCGTCAGTGTTGGAGGTCTTCCCGGAGAGGAGCCCAGGCCAGGCGACCGCGCGGCAGGGCCACCTGACGTGCTGCGCGCTCTGAGCCTCGAGGCCAGGAAGCGACCTCGAGTGACAGACAGGGGGTGTCGGGACAGAGGGTGTCAGTCTGGGCGCCGGGCGTGGCGTGTGCGCGGCGAGGAGCGGGGACCGCGCCGCCCCCAGGCCTCGCGTTTGCGGCAGCTCCCACTCGTCCCTGGAGTGGTCTTCGCCGAGACTGACTGTCTGGAACCCTGGCAGCGGGGAGCCGGGGTCTCGTCACCGAACCCCTTTTCTGTTTTTTTTCTGTGTTGCGAATAATGTGGCGGGTTTCGGCCTCTGTCACATCCGAAGGAGAATTTTCTCCCTGATGGTCCTCTGAGTCCCGGGACCTGTAACATGTGTGCCATCTTTTTACGTGTCTCTTCATTTCCCACATGTACACACACACACACACACACACACGGTTCCACATAACCTAGGCGGTGGCAGGGCGTGGAGGCCGCCTGGTGCGCCCTGACGGGCCTGGCGCACGAGTGTGTGCGTGTGTCTGCCCGGGCAGTGCGGACACGGGGTGCTGGGGGGCGGGGCGCCCGCTACAGTGGGAGAGGCCACACCAGAGTGTGGAACTTACTTGTGAACCAGTTTTTCTCTGCAGCCATCAGAATTAGAGAAGTTTCTGAGAAAGGGTATGTTTATTAAACTGTTTCCTCTTTTTGGTCATACTTACAAGTTAGCAAACGCTTAAAGAATTTGAAGGCACGTTGTTAGTTTTGTAAATACAATTTTAAGTTAGTAACTTACTATGAATCTCAGAAAACCTATATCTTCTCAATGTATTTGCAAGATTCAAATTTGTGATTGATATTTTTTGTTCTGTGTTTGACTTTTACCTCTAGGAAATTGAAAAGGAAGACATTGACTTAGAAAATGTTGGAGCCGGTGGCTATACGGCCAGTTTTGAAGATGATTTTGAAGTATGTATGAGCATTAAAATTTTTCTTGGCTCAAAATAATCTGTTCCTAAACTCAGCCTAAGTCCAGTAACATAGAGCTTTTCTCTCTCCTTCCGTGTGGTCTCGGTCCGTCGCCCGAGGAAGTCTGCCGCACGCCCAGCGGTGCACGCCGGCGTGGTGTGACGAGCGAGGCTGTGATCAGACCTGTCACGTTAGGTGCACGGCCGGCACGCATGCACATGTGTGCACGTGTGTGTGTGCACTCGCACATGTGCAGAGCGTGAGCACATACTTGGCAGGAGGAGAGGTGCCGTGACGGTTTGGGGGCGCTCAGCGTGTGCAGCCGTGTGGGGCGGTCCGTTTGCGGAGGGACGGACGCCGCGTGTCCCCGGACTCGGGAAGCAGCAGCGCCGCGGTCAGCAGCCGTGCCCCGGGCCGTGACGAGGGCTGCCTAGGCTGCTCACTCTTACTTTTACATTTGAACACTTTCAAGAGTGGTTTGTTGAGGTGGTACTGGTTAGCGACATGACACAAATTTCAGGGGACAGGGCTGTCCTTTGACGTCTGTCTGTGTGTCTGTCTCTGGCCCCCCCCGCCCCTCCCCTCCTCCCCTCCCCTCCGGCGGACACCGTTCTGTTCCGTGGTGCGGTCTGGGAGTGCGTTTCTCTGTGTGTTAAGCCGTTTGTCCCTTTCTCGTTTTACAGTCCCCTCGTGAGTGACAGCGCGTGGTTTCCGTCCTTTTTGTCACTCCCCTCACTCCGCAGGGCACTGTCCAGAGCCGCCAGCGCCAGCGTGTCGCCGTCTCTGGGCTGAGCGCACCCTGGTGCGTCCGCTCGGCGGACAGGGACGGGCACCTTCCCCACCGGGCCCCCCGCCGGCGAGCACAGGGCGCCTGTGCGTTCATGTAGGTCTGCTGGCACTTTCTGGGTGAACCACCAGAAGTGGGATTGCTGGGTGACACAGTGACTCTACTCTCAGTTTTCTGAGGAGCCTCCACACCGTTCTCTGCAGTGGCCGTCCCAGCTCCCGTTCCCAGTGACGGCGCACAGGGCGCCCCCTCCTCCCGTCCTCGCCAGCACCTGCCGCCGGCTGTCTCTTCGGTGACGGCGGCCCTGACTGGTGGGAGGCGTGTCCCACTGTGGTCTCGACTGGCAGCTCTCTGACGACGGTGACGGTGACGGTGGCGCTGCGCGTCCTCTCCCGTGACCGCTGGCCGTCTGCGTGTCTCCGTCGGAAAGGCGTCTGTCCAGGTCCTCTGCCCGTTTCTTGGGCAGACTGTTCTGTTGTCGTTGCTGAGTCACGTGAGTTCAGTGCGTGGTCGGGGGTGAGCCCCTTGTTGGAAGCACCACCTGGAAAGGTCGCTGGTGCGTCTCTGTTGATAAGTACCGTGTCTTCTGGGCGGATTGCTCCCCTCCTCGGTGGAAACTGTCTGTCTCTGTCCTCTGTTGCCCTTTCTGTCTCGGTTTGTGTTGTCTGACGGGGGTACAGCTGCCCCTGCTTCTCTCCAGGCACCGGGCGCTCGGGCGTCCCCCTCCAGCCCTGCTCTCGGGGCCGTGCTTGTCCTCGGGGCTCTGCTGGGCCCCGCGCAGGCGGCCTGGAGCAGCTGGTCCTGTGCTCCAGTCCGTGAGCCCAGCCGTGCACGTCCACGGGGCCACTGGCACATGGACGCGCCGTGGCCATCCCGTCTTGTTCTTGGGTTGCCCTGTGCCTCGTTGCTCCTTTTCTCTCTCGCTTCTGTCTGCTGTTTCAGGTCGGTGGTTTCCGGCGACGATTTTCTTCATTCTTCTCTGTTAATGACGGGGTCCCGGCTCTGGGTGTTTGCTTTGTGGCTGCCGTGAGGTCGGCGTGGAATGTCTCGTAGATGAAGCGGTCCCCGACTCCTGAGAGCGCCGTCCTTCTCCCGCACGAGCCCAGCCCTTCCCCGCCCCTGCTCACGCCGTGTGGTGTGTTCGTTATCCAGCTGCAGGGGCTGGAGCTGTTCTTAGTGCTTTCCTTCTTCAACCTGTGTGTGTAGTTGGTTAGCGCCCTGTTCTGAAACAGAGTTGCAGTTTCTTGCTTTGTCTGCTTGTCATTCTTGCTTAGAGCCGCGTGTCCCTCTGCCCCTCTGGCCCAGGCGGAAGAGCCCCTTGCACACTTCCTGGGATGCGGGTTGTGTGGTGCCGACCTCCCCCCCCCCCCCCCGTGCGTCCGGGAGGCCTGTACTTTGCTGTCACAGCGAGAGGGTTCGTTGCTTCTGGCCGCTGGCTTCTCCCTTCCAGCATTTTGAATGTGTCGTTCCACTGTCTTCCCACCTGTAGCGTTTCCTCTGAGAAACACAGCGGCAGCTGATGGGGTTCCCTGGGGGTTGCTGTCTTTCTCCCTGGCTGCCTTGAGAATTCTTTACAATAAACTTTTGACAGTCTTAATACAAAGTGCTTTGGAGAAGGTCTTTGCCCTGAGACGGTTAGGGGTTCTGTCAGCCCCTCGTCCCGGGACGCACGCCGCCCTCGCCCCTGGGGTCCGACGGCTCTGGCAGGCTCTTACTTCTCTCCTCGGCCCTCTCTCCTTTCACCCGAGTCTGTTCTAGGTTCCCTCTTCCGTGCGGTCTGCCCTGTGTCCACTGCTCTCTCTGCGTTCTTTATCTCGTGCACCGGGTTCTCCAGCTCCAGGGCTGGTCTGCTTCCTCGTGACGGTTTCCGTCTCCCTGGCTGGCCCAGCTCTCCGTTTGTGCGCCGTTCCGCAGCTCCCTGGGCTTGCTCTCTGAGTTCTCGCGCCCCTCGTCCAACCGCTTCCTGGCGGCCATCCTGGATTCCGCCACTGAAATCACAGCCTTCCGTGGCTGTCAGTCCGTTCTGCAGGCACGTCGGTGCCTGTCTGCGTTGCCTGCTGCCTTGGCTGTGGCTCTGCGCTTAAGTCAGCCCTAGCCCGCGGTGACCAGGGGACTTTCTTTTGTTTTCCACTAGATGGTGCTGTGCCACACATTGTGGTTTTCTCCCACCTGTGTACCTGCCCCTGCCTGTGTGTGTTGGGGGGCGGGGGTCACTGCAGTCATGAAAATTAGCACTGGGTGACTGGGGTGGTGGGTGTCCTTGCTGTGTCCGGGCTGCCTCGGTCTCGGGGCACTGCCGCTGTGGTGGGGGGACATGGTGGGTTGGGGTTTGCGAGCCCCTGTACTCTTCCCGTGTTCCTTATGGCTGCTGGCACCCTGCGCCGTAGCCAAGGCCTTCGGTGAGTCTCCACTGCAGTGGGTGTGGGGGTGTCGTGGGGGGGGCCCGATGATTGGGCAGCGGCCCTGCTTCTGCCCCTCCCACCCTCTACCGGCTGTGGTGTGGAGGGCGCACCCCGACCCTCCACCGCTGCCGCAGAAACCGGGGCCACAACCGCCAATAGACTGCACCTTCGGACACTCCCTGTCCTTCCCCATCCCGCCTGCCCTGCACATTCTGGGTGCCCACCTGCAGGCGAAGGGTGCACGGCTCTCTGAGGGGTGTTTGCGAGGGGAGCAGGGGCCTTGGCTGGACTGTAGATGTCCAGCTTGTAATTTAGCGAGAGAGAGGGGTCTTCTTACTCCACCACGATGCTGATAATGACAGTCTGTTTTCTCTAAAGTCAGTTCTTTTTTTTTAAGATTTTATTTATTTATGTTTTAGACGGGGGGGAGAGGAGGAAGACAAAAAGAGATGGAAACATCAATGTGTGGCTGCCCCTCACGTGCCCCCTACCGGGGACCTGGCCTGCAACCCAGGCACATGCCCTGACTGGGAATCGAACTGGTGACCCTTTGGTTCGCAGGCCGGCGCTCAGTCCACTGAGCCACCCCAGCCAGGGCAAAAGTCAGTTCCTCTCAGAGTCCCCAGAAACCTTGTTGCTGTCTGTAGGACTACGAAGACGACTTTGAGGTTTGTGACGGAGACGACGACGACGACGACGACGGGACTGATGGGCCGGAATCGAGAGGGAAGACGGAGGAGCTCCCTCCGGCCAGAAGGAGGGAGATACAGGACGTCCAGGACGCCATCGACGCCGAGAACGAGCGGGTGGGCGAGCTGGCCTCGCGGCTGAAGCACGGCAGGATGGAGCCCGAGAGGGACCCCGAGACGAGTACGTGGACGCCGGGCCCTGCGGTCAGGGGGCCACTCGCTGGCGTGTGAGGGTCGCCTGCCGGGGGGGGCTCGGTGGCCTTTCCGTGCGTGGGGGGTGGGGGGTGGGGGTTTGCGACCGAGGGCAGCCGTGAGTGGCGGCCGTCGCAGGCGTGTCTCCCCTGTGCCGCCGGCCTGCCCGTCGGCAGCACGGCTCTTGTCGTCATCGTCGTCTGTTTTTTAAGTTGGCCGCTTTTAACGGGAGGGAGAGGGGAGCACCGGTTTGTCGTTCCACCCACCCACACGTCCCGTCCCTCGGGGGACTCCCTCTCTCTGTGTGCCCTGACGGGGGCGGGCCCGGCCTTGGCCCAGCGGAGCTCCCGTGCGGGGCCGCCGGCTGCCGTGTCCTGTGACAGCACCGCCCTGCGGTTCCCGCAAAGGAGGCTCAGCAGCACCGGCGGGACCCGGGGCCAGTGTGGCAGGTGAAAGGCTGAAGAACAGGGGTTTTCTGGATGAAACTAGAAATGGGTCTCGCTCAGAAACTCTTGGCATCTGGCTTTGGTAACGTTACTTACAAGAGTAGTTGAGTAAATATTTTTAAATCACACGAAGGGAAGAACTATGATTCTGATATAAAAACTGCCACAAGACGCCCATTAGGGGAGTATTAAAATCACTGTTGGATAATGTGCTACTGTAAGTCCTGTGGTGAAATAGATCAGGGTCACGATACGGTTGGTTGTGACCAGCAGTTACCGCGCACGATGTGGCGGCCCGGGGAGGGTCCGCCAGAGGGCCGGTCCCTGTGCCTGCGCGGGGGCACCCGGGCCGAGCTGCAGCATGCCAGCGCACAGAGCGGGCTCTGGACGTGGAGCTGAAGCGTGCCCTTGCAGCCCGGAGTGGCTGTCCTGGTGGCGGTGGTGTCCAGCAGGGTCCCCTCCGGAACCCCCCACAGTGGAGCAGGCGGGGTGGGCGGGGGACGCGCTCCCACCCTGCTGAGGAGTCGGCAGGTTTCATCCCTGAGTTCCTGGTTCCCTGAGCAGACCTGAAGAACCTTTTTTGTGTCTCCTGTCCTACACTGTTCTGGGTGTTATAGCCTTCCATAGCTCGACTGACAAGAATGGAGGACCTGCATTAAGACGTGATTTTTGTGTTTTCATTTTCACTTGAGGAACTCACCTGCTCTGGTCACCGGCGGCATGTCCGGTGGAGCCAGCCTTGCCGGCCCAGCGGTCGTGGCTGCTGCAGGGGGCGCAGGGGCCTTGGTGGTCCCGGCTCTGCCACGTGCTGGCTGCGTGGCCTGCCCACAAAACAAGGGTGAGGCATGCCTCAGGGCTGTTGTGAGGGCTGAGTAAACAAGCTGGTACTTGCAAAGTGCCTGAAGGACCGTCAGGCACACGGGCCGTCGTCCCTAAACACGCTTCTGACTGCGTGCTCTTGACTTTTAGTTTTTGTTTGAAAGAAATGCTTCAGTTTCACAAAAAAAAATTTTTTTGTGCAGATGCAAATGGTTCGTCTTCCAGAGCCCCTGTCTGTGGGATATTTGTGGATTTTGCAACCGCCTCACACCGTCAAAAGAGTCGGACTCAGGCCCTGAAGCAAAAGTAGGTGTCCTGGGAGATTTTTGGAAGGTATTATGAAGCTTTCATGTCTTTTCCTTCAACTTACTTTTTAAAATAGACTTCATTTGTCTCACTACCGACTGCACGCTCTTTGATCTGCACCGCGTGTGTCTGCACCGGGCTGTCCAGTCAACAGAGCAGGGCTGTGCTGCTCAGCACCCAGGTCCGCGCGAGCCTGGACTCGCCCGCGCCACCGAGGCAGAGCCCCGAGGCCAAGGTGGCTGGGCGTGGGCCCAAGGTGTGCTGGGCGTGGGTGGGCCCGAGGTGTGCTGGGCGTGGGCCCGAGGAGTGCTGGGCGTGGGTGGGCCCGAGGGGTGCTGGGCGTGATGCATTAACTGCGGAGAGATGGGGGGGCGGGGTAGAGACCCGCACTGGAGTGCGTGCAGGCCGGTGCCGAAGGCGGCGGAGAGGGAGACGGACAAGAGAGCACAGGTGGCGCAGGTGGTCTTCCCAGGGACAGGAGAGAGGAGAGAGAGAGGTCCTGAGACTAAAAGCAAGTAAGTTTCTATAAGGTGCTTGCCTCCCTAAACTTGACGGAATTTAAAGGTAATTGGTCAGTTGGGAAAATGTGCTCGCGGAGCGGCAGAGGGTTACAATTCCTACCTCGTCGGCTGTTTTTGTAATTTAGTGAGTCAGCACAGCTCGGGGTCAGGAGAGAACATGGGCAGAGGGCGATTCCGGCTGGAGACCCAGGCGGGAAAACAGAGGCCGTGGGAGCACCGGTAGAAGGGGCGACGCAGGGGTGACCGCATGGTGCTGGGAGGCTGCGGGGCTCAGAGGGGGCAGGGACTCCCCGCCGGCCGGCATCCCCGAGCCCGAGGGGCAGGGAAGCCACGTGCTCGCCCCCACCAGCGGCCCCAGCCCCCACCCTAGGGCCTGGAGGTCAGGGAGTGCAGGAGGATGCGAGTCTTGCACGTGGTCAGGGAGGTGGGTGTTCCGACAGCGGTGAGGTGAGTCGCCCTCTCCCGGGAGAGGCGACGTTTAAACACTGATAACACGCGAGTGTCGGCGGGAGTGCAGAGGAAAAGCTTGCTTACGAGGTGCTGGCTCGGCCAGGGGGCGGGGCTGGCGCGGCTGCGTGGGGGACTGAGGTGTCTGTGGGACCGAAGGGCGTGCCTCGTGTCCCGAGGGCCGGGCCGGGCCGGGGGTGAGGCCCCACAGGAGACCTCAGCGCTTCCTTCAGGGTGGACGTGACCAGGCGGGAATGTTTGTCGACGTGTCCAGGGTAACCGTGAAAGGATGACGCAGAAATTTCATGACTAGTGAGCCGGGATAGAAGAGTTCACAGGGTGGGCCAGACGGTGGTCCGCAAGGAGAGACGAAGGTCCTGGCACGGAGGGCAACGGGAGGGCGGGGGTCCGGCCGGGACCTGCTGGGCTCCGCGGTGCGTGTTCACTCGCACCCAGCATGTCCCCGCTGAGCCGCCGGCAGCCTCTGCGACTCACGGGAAACACCGCGTGGGGAAACCGGCGGTGCCACAGGCCGAGCGGAGAGACAGAGCCAGGAGCCATGTGTCTGTCATGGCGGCTGCGGCCGACGCTGCGGAACGAGACCTGCGGTGCGTGCTTCTTTCCAGAGACAAACCTGCCACGTCGGGACCCGGAGAGGCTGGAAAAAGTGGAGAAGTACTCCAGCCAGACACTAACAAAAATAATGCCGACGGCACTAATGACCTTTCGCACCGAAGAGCACTGGAAAGCAAGAGGATTACGAGAAAGTCGCTTCAGAACAATACCAGGGTCGGCCCCACAGAGGAGGCCCGCGGTCCGGCCCTGCGCACCCGAGCTGGGGCCACGGAGGAGCGAGGCCGCACCTCATGGCACCACCAGCGCGGGGGCGCACGCAGACACGGCGGGGTCCGGGGCAGCTCGCTCTCGGGAGCCGAGAGACATCGGAAACACAGCCTTGAACAGCGCGGTGAACAAGCTACGCCCGACACTCACGGGCACTGAACCTGCAGCTGCAGTCCCTCTGCTGTTTGGGAGAATCCCAGGACGGCTCCTCGAAGAGATGGTGCGCTCCGGACATGGGATTGAAAAGATACAGAGGATGTTTTCTGACCAGAGTGGAATTAAGCTAGAAAGCAGCAATTAAAACACAACTAGGAGCTGCCCAAGATTTTGAAAAATAAGTAGCGTACTTCTGAAACAAACCGTGGGCCCGAGGAGATGCCCGATGGCATTTAGAGCCGTCAACGGTGGTCGTGGAAACCGGCCTCGGCGACCGGCGGCGCAGCAAGAGCCCTTCCAAGACCTCGGGGGAGGCGGAGGCTGCACCGGCAGAGGCTGCACCGTGCATCTGTCTGCGCCCCCCGGAAGAAACAGGAAGGAAGATGAAGGAACGGGATAGGGGAAGAGAAGGGCACAATTCCGTAAAACGGAAAGCGGCCAAATTCAGCAAAGCCCAAATGAACGCTGTGAAAACTTGTATAAAATGTGTACCCCCAGGAAGTCTGGCGGGACACAGCCCGTGTCCGTGACAACACCCATGACAGGGCGGCCGGCTGGCCGGCTGCGCGTGCCGTGTGCCGTGTGGTGGGAGGCGCACGCAGGGGTGGCGGCCGTGGGTGGAGGCCCTGCGCGCGTGGGGGAGGAGCCTGCCGCCTGAGCCCCAAGCGGGCGGGAGCCCCGCGCACGACCACCGGAGCCGCCAGGGCGCCGCCCACCTGGCAGCAGGTGACAGTGAAGGTCAGCCCGCGCCCGCGCTGGGGCGTCTGGAGCAGAGGACAGCGGCCCCGGCAGCTGGACGGGACACCCGAGTGCAGAGGAGGAGCCAGCACGTGCTGGGCTTAGGGGGAGGGCGGTTTGCTCCTCGGGCTCTGCAACGCGGAGTCCCGTGGGACCCGGGCCCCCTGCACCTGGAGGGTGGTGGGCACGCGCACCCGACGCACGTGCTCGGGCCGCGGCGCAGGGGGCGCCGTCGACAGGTGATGCTGGTCTGGGCGCAGCCACGGAGTGAAGCAAATTGCTTTCCACGGAAGCTCCCGGAACACCTGTCCTGACTTGTGTTGTCTCGGGAGCGCCGCCTGAGGACCAGGGGAACCCGGGCCGCCAGCCCCACCAGGCCCGGAGGGTCCTCACCCTCGCCTGCGCTCCCCCCTGCGTCTGAGTCGCCTAAACGTCGTCTTGTGTCCACTTTGTCTTGAAGGGTGCGCAGCACGAAGCTGCTCCGGCTCATCGACCTGGACTTCTCGTTCACGTTCTCCCTCTTGGATCTGCCGCCCGTGAACGAGTATGACATGTACATCAGAAACTTCGGGAGAAAGAACACCAAGCAGGTCGGTACTGCAGGTGTTGACTGAGTGACAAAACGCAGCCAGAGCACGGGGCAGGTCCGCGTCGCCCCTGCCTCGTCTGCACGGGGAGGGCTCGGGCACGTGCGGGGACCCCCATCCCGTGCGTGTCCCCTCTCTGTCCCCTCGCACCTCCCCTGTGTGCCGGCCTCTGCCGCCTGCCCCCCGTGCCTGCCCCCCGTGTGTGCCCCCCCGGCGGCGCGCTGAGCTCTGCTCGCACTGCACGCTGGGCTGCCCGTGGTGCTGCTTCCCAGCCGTTAACCTCGTGACCGTGATCGTGATCGTCCAGCTTCCCAAAGCCTGCAGCCAGGGACCGTCTCTCCACCCTCCCTTCCGTCCCTGTCAGTGCCATCAGGTGGCACGCTGGGGGTCCACTCTGTCAGCGAGAGGCCCAGTGGGGAGGCGGCCCCTCCCGCCGACTCCCCCCACCCCTCCGCCTCCCGCCATGCGCTTGCTCACACGCTCTCTTCCCTGGAGCCGGCGCCTCGTGCAGCGAGGCCTCGCCTTGGTTTGGCAGAGTCCGCGAGCGCCCAGGAAACTGGCCGTCGGTGGGCCGTGTGGCCCCTCCTTGACCCGAGGCTGACTTGTGGGGGGGCTATTCAAGACCCCGGGAAACGGGGGCCTGTTGCACGTGGCAGATACTTATGCCCACGCCGGGAGACAGCCGTGAGTGACTTCTAGTTTCAGTGTTTCTTCTCTGTGGCGAGACCCGGCCCAGGTGCCGAGGCCCCGTGCTCACGCGGCGCCTCCGTCTCCCAGGCGTACGTGCAGTGCAACGAGGACCGCGTGGACCGCGACGTGCAGACGGAGGAGACGGAGGCGCGGGAGGTGTGGACGCAGCACCCGGGGGAAGGCTCGGCCGTGTCTGGGGGTAAGCAGCTCCGTCCTGAGTGCGGAGACACGCGTGCTCGGTGTCGTGCTCCTGCGTTTCTGTTCTTTCTTCTTCTCCTTCCTCCTCCCTCCCTCGGGGGCAGTGGTTGGTGCCTGACGAGGGTGCACCGGGCACGCCGATCACGGCGGCCGGACTCTGTGTGGACGGCGGCGCCGGAGCCGGGTTCCGCACGCACGCACTGCCCTGTTCTGTGTGCGCTGAGGGCCGCCGCCCCGATGGCCGTCGACTCTGAGGAAGGGCCCGGGTGTCCTGCTGCCCCGCCCCGCCGCCCCGCCGCCCCGCCGCCCCGCCCCTCCGCCCCGAGAAGCCGCACGCCCGACCGGCGCTCCGACCGGCAGGAACGGGCTCCCGGTTGTGAGCGCGGAGCAGAGCGTGCTCCTGCGCTGTCATCGCCAGGGACGGCGTTGGTGGCGTCACAGCTGGGACCCTCGTTGTGCCTGCCCGTGTCTTGCTTGACGCCTTTGAGTCGGGTTCTGTTCCCAGACTCGACAAACCAAGGTGCCAGCGGCTGTTGGAGCTAAGTTGGTTGGGGCAGCGTGACGGGCCGAGGAGACTCTATGAGTCCCAGGTGTGCTCACCTCCCCAGCGCGTCTCCTCTCATCAGGAAGCAGCTGTGCCCGAGAAAACCACGGCGGGCCCAGCAATAGTCGCGGGGTTTGCTGAGTGCCCCGCCCCGGGCCCCGGGGCCCGCCCCCCGGACGAGAACGAGGCGCAGCTGGCGGGGAGCCCACCTGGCCCGTGTTCTGCGGCCTTTTCCAGGGAGCGGGAGCAGAGGCCCCTGCGCTGCGGACCTGCTGAAGGTCGACACGCCCCGCCTGTCCAGCTTCCTCCGGGCGGCCTGCCAGGTAGGCCCCGCCGGGGCCCGGGTTTCCCCAGCACCGCTGGCCACGCCCCGAGTCCCGGCCTGCGTCGCGAGGGCTCCGTCCCGAGGTGAACGCAGACCAGAACCTCGCTGAGCGGGCAGGGCAGACAGGGCCCATCGGGGCGCTGGGACGGCCGACCGGAGGACCCTCTGACCCGGTCGTGGAGAGTCCTCGGACCGAACCGCACGCAGAGGGGAGGGCGCGGCCGGGGCGCACCGTGTGCGTCCACAGCTGTCCGCTCCTGCGACCTGCCTTCCGCCCTCCCGCCCCGGCCGCCCCGGCCGCCCCGGCACAGTCTGCCCGAGGCTCGGGGGAGAAGCCCCGCACCCGCAGCGTTTCTCGAGCGTCAGTGAAGAGGAGGGTCCCTGGCCCGACCTGTGCGGCGGCAGGGGTGCAGGCTGTGAGGCCCAGCTGCGCGCACACCGGGGGTGGCCTCTGCTCTGGGGGGCCCCGGGGGGCGAGGGGCGGGCCAGGACCGACGGCGGGGGCAGGGGACAGAGGACCGGCAGTGCTGCGGGGACGTTGCCCTGGACGGCCCCGAGACGGCGGCGGCGGCGGCGGCTGCGACTGCGGCTCACTGCCTGTCCTCGGCCGCCGTGAGGCTGGCGGGACTCTGCCGAGAGAAGCGACATGTGCCGCCAGCACGGGCTCTCCCAGGGCCTTCGTTTGGGGGGGGGGGGCGGTGGCCACCCTCAGCTCCTCCTGCGGGGCCGACGGACAGCGTGGTGCCGGCTGTCGGAGTCAGCGGCGGCCGTGGCGCGGTGGAGATGAACGGGCGATGACTGGGGCCCGTTTCCCCCGAAGGGCACACGGTGCTGGGCGGGCGGGCTAAGGGCTGCTCCCTGTCTTCGGAAGGTGGTGGCGGTTCTGCTGGAAGAGGACCGTGTGGCGGCGGCCCCCGGCCGGGACCCCGGCGCGCAGGACAGCGCCCTGCCCCTCAGCGCCAGCTCCTCGCCGCTGAACACCAGCCTGCCCTTCCTGCAGCGTAAGAGCCGGCGCGCTGCTCAGGCCTGACACCAGACGTGACACCACTCGGTGGCGGGCGGACGGACGGACGGACGGACAGACAGAAACACTGTGGGTCAGGCGGCGTGAACTGGCCGGAGGAGGAGCGTGAGCCGCGGGTCGGACGGGGGCGTTCTCAGGAGGACAACGGCGGGGGCCGGCGGGGGGGGGGGGGGGGCGAGGCGGCGGGAGGGAGCTGCTGCCCTGAGGGAGGGCCCAGGCCGGTGTCCTGGCTCCAGGCCTCGCTGTGCCCAGCTGGAAGGATCCCTTTCTAGCAAAACTAACTGCGAGGCAGCGAGGGCCGTTTCCCGGTCGACTGTGGCTGTCTGTCCCCCCAGGTCCAGGCCTGTGGAGCCTGGACGAGGCCACGCCTGTCCCCTCGTGCGCCGAGGCTCCCCTGCTCACCCGGTGGGCCACTTCAGCCGGGCCTGCAGGGCACCGAAGCGCAGAAGTGCCGTCCGTCTGTGTCCGCAGATCGGAGCGTGTCCTGCCTGCACGCCTCTCGGGCCCAGAGGCGCACGGTGGTGTCCGTGCACGGTCTGCCCGGGAAGCCCTTCGCCGCGCCGCTGGACGGCAGACACCTGCTCTGTGTGTGGGACATCCGGCAGCCCTCGGGGCCTCAGAGGGTCCTGGTCTGCGAGCCGCAGGTACGACTCGGGGGCGCCGTGGGGTGGACGGGGACGGGGTCCTTTCTCTGTCCTGCGGCCGCCCCTGCCCTGTCTGTGCCGGTGTGTCTGCGCGGACTCCAGAACCCGCTGGCCCCAAGCACCGGCTCGCCGGGTAGCGCAGCCGGCACTGGGAGTTGAGCCGGGGCACGGAGGCGCGCTCTGCTGGGCCGCGTGGGTCCTGGGCGGGTCAGAGGTCTCTCGGTGGCCTGAGCCGTGGGTCCACGGGCGTCTGCGTGTCCTGGCCCCCGGGTCACCGGCCTCGGTCTGGGGGCCGCGCAGGTCGCCCTGTGGATACGCTCCTTGACCTCAGAGCCTTCGATTTCCCCCAGAACGTGGAGAACAGCGACTTGGTGGGTGTTGGTTTGGGGGGCTGAACACAATGTTTGGTAACGCAGGTTGTGAACAGAGACAGAGGTGGCTTTGCTGACGGGGCCGCACGGGGCCGTGGAGCACACGCGTGCCCAGCTGCGTGTGACGCCGCCTGCTGTCCCCCCTAGGAGGCCGACACTCAGACCTGACCCTGGGCGGCCCGCAGCTCCCGGCGGGAGGGCTCGGGGACGCGTGGGAACGGAGGGCCGTCCGCGTGCCTCCCCAGGTCACCTGCTGCTGCCTGAGCCCCTCCAAGGCCTTCCTGCTGTTCGCGGGGACCGCCCACGGCTCTGTCCTCGTGTGGGACCTCAGAGAGGACGCGCGGATGCACTGCTACGTCAGGCTGAGCGACTGCTGCTGGACGTTCAGGACGGCGACCTTCTCCACGGGTCCGTGGGGCCCGCGGGCGTCTCTGGGCCGGCCGGGGCACGTGGGAGGGGCGCCGGAAAGGCCTTGGCGCTCATTGTCCAGGTCACAGCCCGGAGGTGGGGTCCGACCTCGCAGCCCAAGAGGCATTGGACCGGCGGAGGAGCAGGAGCGCCTGCAGGTGGTGGTTAGCAGGCGGCTGTGTCCTCTCCGTCCCGATGGTGGGTTCTGGTTTGTCGGTGGAGTGACACGTAGTTCTAGGTTGGCCTGCAGGGTGCTGGTGCACGCGCTCCCGGCTTAGTCGGCTCCACCGACGGGACGAGAGGAACCAGAACAGCTGGACCGGCCAGGATCCCTGCTTAGACCCCACCAACCCTCACGCCAGGCGGCTGCAGCTGCAACCACACCCTAACCACAACCAAACAGCCACAACCACCCGCTCATGGCGGCAGCCCCGCCCCCCCGCTGAGCGGCAGCTCTCGTCTGGGGCTCCCTCTCGGTGCTTCCCTCCGAGGCAGCGCTCCTCAGCGCCCGCCTCACCTCCTTCCCAGCTGCCCGGCGACACGAGGGGCCTGGCCACTCACACCGACCTCAGCTGGGAATGGGGGGCACCTGCTGCCCATCAGCCCCAAACCTGCCCCTCACGCTTCGCCTTGGAGATGGGGCGTCCTCTTCTCAGCTCCGCTCTCAGCTCAGCCCCACCTCCTCAGCGTTTCTCGCTGTTTTGTTTTTTTAAAGTTTGTTCCGTGCCTCTGGTTCCAGGCGTTTCTGTGTGTTTGCTTTCCGAGGCGCTGAGACGCAGGGAGCAGGCGGAGCTTGCGTCTTCTGTCCTGCGCCTGGTTTGGGGGGAGGGGAGGGCGAGGGGGAGCCTTCCTCCCCGAAACGCTGTGACTGCCGTTCTCACGGGAGCCCTGGGCCCGGCGTCCCTGCCGGCATCCTGCCCCGGGGGCTGCAGGCCAGCGCGCCGTGCCGTCGGGTTCACAGCGTCTCCCACGGGTGGGGGCCCCGGGGGCGGATCGCCGCTCCCTGCCGTCTGTCCTCACGGCCCCTCCTGCCTGCAGACGGGCGGCCGTCCCCTCCTCGTGGGCAGTTTGGGGCCCGTGGTCTCTGCCTCGCGGTGACGCGGGAAGTGACGGCCACGTGTCACTTCCCGGTGGTCCTTCCCGGGGGTGCCGGCAGCACGTGTGTGTCCCCGTGTGGCGTGTGCTGCGTCCCCATGTGGCGTGTGCTGCGTCCTGTGACGCGCCGCTCACGGCAGGCCGTGTGCCCCCCCCAGATGGCCTCCTCTCCCCCGCAAGCCACCGCAGCCCGCTGCGCGCCGTGGAGCCCGTCTCGGCGTCCAGCTGCGAGAAGCAGAGTCTCGTCCTCTCGCCCTTCCCTGCCCGAGAAGGTACGTGGCCCCTCCACCGCACACCCTCGCCTCCGTGTGCGGCCCGGCGTTCCTGGCCGACCGGTCACTCCTTCTCTCCGCGTGTCAGAGATGTCAGGCCTGGCGTTCCACGTCGCCTCCTTGGACGAGAGTGGGGTTCTCAACGTGTGGGTGAGTGGGCGCACCGGCGCGGACCCCGCAGCCCCGGCTCTGGGGGCGGAGTGCGCGGCCGGCGGCGGGGGGCGGGGGGTGATGGGGACGTCGGGGCCGGTGGGTGTCGAGAAGGCTGCCGGGCCCCGTGGGGACAGGGAGGCAGGTGCACCAGTGACGGGCGGCAGGGACTGAGGAGGTCACAGGGCCCGGAGCGCCTCGGGGCGCTGGCCGCTGACCAGTCACGGAGGGACAGGACGGGGCGGGGGAGGGGAGCCCCGCTTGGTTCTGGGACGCTGGTCCTGGGGGCGGTGGCCGCCAGCGACGCCTGCAGCCCCCGAGACAGACGGCCGGCTGGTCAGACCGGCACGTGCTCCGCTGGTGTCGCCGTCGCGAGAAGCGCTGACGCTCGTCTCCACGCTCTGTTCTCAGGTGGTGGTTGAGTTGCCGAAGGCAGACGCGGCAGGCTCAGTGAGCGATTTGGGTAACTATTAAGTGAAAAACCAATTTCAGTCAGTGCTACGGTGAACAAAGAACCACTTTGAAAAATAAGTAGTTAGCTACCTGAAAAATGTTACATTCTGTATTTCGCATCTCATCAGCCGCCGAGCGAGCCCCTCCGTGACGGGGGTGGGAGGGTGCCGGGGCCGAGTGTTGTCAGGGGGCTTGTAGGCTCTGTGTGCGTCTGTGTGTCCCCTCGTCCCCGAGGTGCACGCTGGGGACGTCGGGGGTTGCAGGCTCTGCCGCGTGTGCCTCAGGTGAGGGGCCGGCCAGGGCACTCACCTCGGGGTTGGGACTGAGGGTTCCCTGACGAGTCTTCTCTGAGCAGCCCGGCCCCGTCCCAGGGGCCAGCACACAAGGGTGAGTGGACAGGGAGTGAGGTCTTCGGGACACGTCACCCTGAGGTCAGAGGGTGCTCGTCAAGGCGCTGGCCCCGGTCGGGATAGCTTCCCGGGAGCAGCGGTGGGAAGGAGCAGGGCCACTGCGCGCCTGTGACGGCCGCAGGGACCCTCTGCGACAACAGCCCCGTGTCTGTCCAGCCGCGCGTCGAGTTTGTTCACGTTGTGGTCTTAAGGAAGGGCCTTGCCCAGAATGTGGGTTTCGAGATGCATAGACTTCTAGTTCCCCTTTGCAGAAGTTACCAACCGGGAGGATGGTATTGGGAACAGACAGAGGAAGCCAGGCCCGTGAATGGCCAGGGGCCGGAGGGAAGTGGTGGGAAGGCATGGTGTCCTCTGGGTCAGGACAAGGGCGGAGACGGGGGTGGGGGAGCGGGGGAGGGGCGCCAGTCTTCCACCAGAGCCCAGCAGGTGCCTGTTCGCAGGTGTGCTTCTGCGAGGAGCCTAAGGTGTGTTCAGTAGTTTGCTTGTTTTTTGTCTAGTGTGCTGCCCTCATTGTATTTTACTGAGTCTGAAACGTAAGAGCTTCTTGACTCCGGCAGCCTTTCCCCAGAGGCTGTGAACTGCAGGGTCTTCTGTCTCTGCGGAGGCAGAGGGCTGACCGTCACAGGCGCCCACCTCTGCCTCAGCCCTCAGCCCGGCCCCAGGCGACTGTGTGGACTTGGGTGTGGCTTGTATTAACCGGCCTTTCCTTCTTCCTTTCCGTTTTCAGGGTTACTGCCTGGAGGGAGGATCAAGTTGGTGCACAGCACCGCGTCTCACCTGAGTGACAGGTAGGACCACACCTCCCAGAGCAGGGCCACCTCCCGCTGCCCCCCCCACCCCCGGGTGCCACAGACTGAAGCCACTTGTCCTTGATTAAAGCGGTGTCCGTCCTAGGAAGCGGCGCAGTGCGCCTGCTTGTCGTCCGGCGTCCCCACAGCCGTGCAGCAAAAGGTGGAACCAGGAACCGGGACCTGAGAGTTCCGCTGAGAAGTTCAGGTTTCTACTTGTAGTCACGTAGCGTGATACGACGTGAATGTTCTCGTGAAATGAGCAGGTTCCGCTGTGGTGCTCACGTTCCGTGTTAGTTTCCGGAAGAAGTCCCCTCTGTCCTTTGCTGCGGTCAGGGGGCTCCTAGCAGCACACGATTTGCCCAGGAGAAGTGGCTGTCAGCCGCGCCCCCACCCCCAGACAGGATGGCCCAGGAGCTGTGGGCAGGGCGGGCTGGAGACTGCACCACCTTCGGCCGATTTCCGTGCAGTCGACACAGGAGTCAGCCACGTTTACGGGAGTCAGCTGACACGCGGAGAGCCAGCCAGAGGGGACCCTGGGCTAGTCGCCGAGCCCAGTCCCTCGTGCACACGGGGGCCCCTGGGCCCCTGTAAGGGTGCAGACCGGTGGTCACCGTGGGCCCTCAGGGGGGCGTCCCGTGTGTGTGAGGGGTCTTCTCAGTGGTGCCCTGGGACCCGGGCCTGGGAAGGGGAGGAGGCGCAGACGTGACTGTGAGGAGCTGCCGACTCACGCCGGCCGCCTGCCCCGCGGGGAGCTCTGCTGGCGCGGCTCTCCAGAGCGTCCTCGCCGGCCCGGGCCCTCTGCCGTCAGCCACTGAGCTCAGGAGGCCGCGGCGGGGGCAGCCCTGGGTGGCGGCCCATCCCCCTGTCCGCTGTGCATGTGCCCCCCCACACACACACACACGAGCCCCCCCGTCCGCTGTGCATGTGCCACACACACACACACACACACACACACACACACGAGCCCCCCAGTCAGGATCTGCGCGCGGGGTGGGGCGCTCGGAGGGCTGCCCGCGGGACGAGCGAGCGGTGACTTCTCAGAGAGGTGACCAAGGGCAGGCTCTGGCCGGAGGGGCAGTAGGTGACCGTTTGGGGCGGTGCCAGGCGGTTTGCCGTCGAGAGAGAAGGGGGCGTCCGTGGCCAGACCCGGGAGTGTTTGCTGTGCGGAGGGCCTCCTCGGTGTGCTGGCCGGCGACAGGACGCCATGCCTGACTGAGCTGGAAGGCGGGCCGGGGGGGGTGGGAGGCGGTGGTAGGGCCCAGGATGGTCCCGGCTGGGGCAGCAGCAGGTGTGAGGGAGGGAGCCTTGCAGCCAGAGGGAGAACTGGACGCAGGGGCCCGGGGTTGCTGAGAGGGGGACCTGCTCCCGCCCGGGGTCCAGCTCGGCTGCCAGGCCCTGCACACAGACGAGGAGCCGGGAAGGAGGGTGGGGCAGGACCTGGGCCGCGGGGGCGGGGGGGGGGGGCCATCTGTGCCCCTGGGGGCGGGAGGCCGTCCTCAGCCCCAAGTGGCATTCACTGTCCTGGGGGGGTGGGGCAGAGTCCTGGCTCTGACTCGGGCGGCGCAGCCTCCCTGGGCACAAACATGTGCGCTGGGTGAGCGGAAGGAAGGACGGCGAACTCAGCAGCGGCCTGACCTGGCCGGGTGCCGGGAAGGCCCAGACCAGGGGGGGTTGAAGCCGACGGCAGCTTCTGCGTGCGAGGCCCCGAGTGGAGCCATCGCTCGGGCCCTGCCCGGCCGGGCCACAGCCCCCGCAGCGAGCTGGGACCGAGGCCCTGCACGGACTCTGGGGTGTGGCGTGCCCACAGTGGGAGAGAAACCCACCGTCTGCCCACCAGGGCCGCAGGCTGAGCAGTCAGCACTGCAGCCCCAGACGCGCCGGCCCCCCACTGGGCTCCGGAGGCCCCGTGGAAGCAGCCGGCGGAGAAACCGCAGACACCGCCCCCGAGGAGGCAGGCGCTGCCGCGGGGACCGAGAGTCGGCGGGGCGTCTGAAAGGCAGGGTGGGAGGGACGGCTGCCCGGGAACAGCCCCCGGGGGGCTGGGCGAGGCCGAGGGGCAGCTCGGACGAGGCCGGAGGGTCCCCGAAGCGGAAGCGCGGGGGACAGGGACGGCCGGGTCGGCACTCAGAGCCCAGCCCTGGAGCGGCCTGCCACCTCCGCTGACCCGCGGCGGCGGCAGCCGGTGCGCGATGCCGCCTCCACCCTCGCGGCTCAGAGCCCCGTCTGTGGGCCCCCGCTGTGTTTTCCGCTGTGGTTTCCAGCCTGGCCCACCGAGGCGATGGTCGCTGGGGGACCCCACAGACGCTGAGCATCAGATTTCTGCCCGCGGACCCTGACCGCTTCGTCGTGGGCACCAACGTGGTGAGCAGCGTCCTGAGCTGCGCGCGGGAGCCCACCCCACCCTTCCCTCCCGGGGCTGCCCGACCAACACCCTCGTGGGGGCGGAGTCGATCCGCTGCCCCGGGAGGGCTGGCGCTGGTCCTCCTCGGGCCCAGCCTGGTGCCCCGGTGATTGACCGTTGTCCTCCCCTGGCAGGGTGTCGTAGGTCACGGCGCCAGGCAGGGTCTGAGGGTGCCCCCCAAGTGCTTCAGGCCCCGCCAGCGAGGCCCAAGGCCCGTCAGCGTGAGCACGATCGACTTCTCGCCGTTTGGGGAGCCGCTGTTCCTGGTAAGGAGTCGGGTTGCAGATCCCCGGTGGGTCCTGGCTGGGGCACACTTGCAGGGGCGGGTGGGGACTTCTGGGCAGATCCCTCCCCGTGCCCCGGGCCAGTGCGGGCCGGCGTGGGCCGTGCGTGCACCTCACCGTGGGGTCTGCTGCAGGTCCCGTCCACACGGGTCTTGATATGGCTGTTGGGGGCCTTCGCAAAGCTTTGAGTCCTGACGTAATTTAAGTCCTGGAGAGAAGGTCCCGGAACAGCAGGGAGGGTCCCACGTGCCGCACGCTCGCCGCCGCACCTGCACGTGCTGCCTCTGCGTGTGCACACTCGCCCTGTGGCCGGCGGGGCGGGCAGTGGCAGGCGTGATGCCCGTCCTGCGTGGCCGCGGTTGCACCTGCGTCACCGGGAGTTGGTGCAGGGGCAGGCTGCCCCCCGACTCGTGGCTGTGACGCGAGTGTCCCGGTCGTCCCGGTAACGTCCTTTATGCGCAAAGTAGCCTCCAGGTCACGCGTCTCCTCGGTCGTTGCATCTCTTCAGTCTCGGACCGCCCCCCAGTCTCTCGTGACCTTGACCGTGTGGAGGGGCACAGCGTGCTCCTCAGCCTGAGTCTGGGGGAACCCTCCTGACGGCCAGATTCGGGCTGGCGTCCTCGCCCCCCTGCGGGCCCCCGCGGTGGGGGGCCACCTCCGAGGGGCCGTCACCCTCCCTGTCTGATGAGTGGGCATCGTGGGGGGGACGGGGCTCCTGCCGCCCCTCACCTGCTCACCTGCATCGTCACCTGCTCACCTGCATCCAGGTGTGGTCCTTGCCGGCACCTGTTGTCCGGGTCATTGCAGGCGGTGGCTTTCCCTTCGTTGTGAATTCCACATGCATCAGTGGGCTGTCTTCTGTATGTAGGTGTGCGTGTTAGATGTGTGTGTTAGGCATGTAGGAGCCATGTATGTCAGTGCAGGCACATGGCTCCTTACTCTCCTCGGTGGCTCATCGCCGTGTGCGGCCTCTGTGCTCTGCCCAGCCTGTCCCCGGGGGTGTCCTTCTGATGACACTCTGTAACTCTCATTTTGGGGCAGTAAACCCTGGGGCGGGCCGTTTCTCCGGGCAGCCCTGCCTCCCGTGCGGCAGACGTAGTCGGAAGCCCAGACCGGGGCGGTCAGAGTGCTCAGTGCGCAGGACACAGGCCGCGCCGGCCCCTGCAGGCCCCACAGGGGCCCGGCTTGTCTGTCTCAGTCCTCAGGCCCACAGAGCCCTCCCGGCTGCTGCTGGTCTCGCCTCGGCCGAGCCCGAGTGTGTGACGGGCTGGTACGTGGAGTGAAAAGCACTTGAAAGCCCCTTTTTAGCTGAGAAGTCGGTCTGTTAGTAAACCAGCTAAGTTTTGTTTGAGGGACTCTTCCGTCCAGGGGGCCATGTAACTGTGTTATCGACGTGCACACCTGTGGCTCTTTGAAAGGCCGTGGGGCCGGTCCCCACGCCCTACGCTGGGGTCGGCGAGGTCCCACTGTGCCAGGAACGGACAGCCCCCCGCCCCCCCCCCGTGCTGCGTTCACTGACGGGGGCCGCTCGGGGAGGGCGGGTGCAGGCATGCCGGGCCCCCCGAGGTGGGTGCTCGTCTTGGTGGCTTGCCAGGGCAGATTTAAAGAGGTTAGAATTCTATGTGCTGGAAACAAAAACTACAGCAATTTTTTGCTGTATGAACTGAAAAAAGCTAATGCTCTGAAAAATGTCCCTGGCTGCTGGGGCTGGGCGACAGAGGAAAAGACCCTCATGCCCAGTGTGCACCCCCTGCCCCCGCCCCGCCCCGCCCAGGCCGGCTGCAGCGACGGGAGCGTCCGGCTTCACCAGCTGGCCCTCGAGCAGCCGCTCCTGCAGTGGGACCACAGCACCGGGGGCCGTGCCGTCTCCGGCCTCCAGTGGTCCCCCACCAGGCCCGCCGCCTTCTTCGTCTGGGACGAGGCATCCTGCCTGTACGTGTGGGACCTCCTGGAGAGCGACCTGGGCCCGGTGGCCACGCACCGTGTCTCCCCAGACGGGTGAGTCCCGCGAGACCCTCGCCCCCCCATCCTGCCCCCCCGCGCTCTGCCCCGGTCCTTCCTGCAGGAGCGCGCCGCTGGTGGGCCTTCCGCTTGTGCACAGCGTTTCGGTGCTTTAAAACAATGCCGTTACTTGTATTGACATGTAAGTGTCATGTGTGTATTTATAAACTTGAGTGATGTCTTAACAACTGGAGTGCGTGGGTTCCAGTGCGGTCCAGAGCAGTGTGCGGGTCGGAGAGCTCACTGTGGGCCCGCCGTCTGCTCGCTGCCGGCCTCGGCGGCTCCGTGTGCGCCCCGGGGGGAATGGGGGTGGGGGGAGGTGGGGGAGGAGGGTGTGGGGGGCCTCCGTCTGGTTTCCAGAACGGCCGTCACTGAGCAATGGGCACCTCCCGTGTCTCAGTTGGGGATGCCTCTCGGCCCCTGGTGTCCTTCCAGCAAGTTCCGTCATGTCTTATTAATTGGAACTGGAAATAGTTATGAAAGCTCCCACTGTGAGGGGTTCTCTCCTGACCCACTTTGTGCGTTCGCTGCCCTTTCTCCAGAGAGTCAGCGTGTCCTGTCGGCCGCCCTCCTGTGGAGCCCAGCCCCCGGGCAGGGCCGCCGCCCTGGGGAGGGGTCGGAGGGCACCGCCGACAGCAGGTCGGGGAGGCACAGATGGGATCGACAGACGTCCGGCTCCCGTGCCGGGCGTGTGCGTCTCTGTCACTGTTTGAAGACGCGTTGTCAGAACCCAGACTGGGACTCACCTTTTACCACAGGATATACGTGCAGTTTATTACGAAAAGTCTGTCTGTTAACAGAACAAGCACTTATTGAGCACCTACTGTGCACCTGGCATGGCTGCTGGCTCCCGTCTCATGGGGCGAGGTGCTGACGAGCACAACAGGACCCATCCGCCGTCCCGCAGTGCGACGGGGAGAGACGGGGAGGGAGGGGCCCCCGGTGTGGGCCGGAGGGGGTCAGGGCTGTACGTGGGCAGGACAGGAAAGGTCGCGCCGAGGAAGAAGGTGCGGGTCGGCAGAGACTTGGGAGACGGGGTCTCGGGGACAGGCGGGCCCCCAGTGCAGCAGCACCCTGTGCGGGTGGGGGCTGAAGCCGCACCCGCACAGCGGGGGGCAGCTCAGAGAGGGGGCACAGAGAGAAGACGGGAGGGATCCGGAACCTTCTCCCAGACCGCCGCCTGCCTCAGTGGTTAGCCGCAGTGTTTGAGCCAAAGAAGTAATGTTCACAGGAAGTGCTCAGTTATTTTCCTTCGACTGTGAAGAAGGACGGGAAACTAGTAGGATTTCAAAGGCAGGAGTTCCGACAGGAGGGAGAATTGGCCCCTTTCCGAGCGGAGTTAAAGTCACAATGATCAGCAGCCCGCCCGCGGGGGCCGGGGCCCCTGCAGCGTGAGTCAGCAGCACCGTCAGCCCGGCCGTGGTGGCGCTGCTGGGCATTTCCGCGCCGGGTGTGGGGGTTTTCCAGACCCACAGCGGTCAGCGGGGGGCCGTGCCCTCCTCGCGCCCCCAGCCGGCCCCGGCCCGTTCCTCCCAGGGTGTGGCGACGAGGCTTTGCCCGCGCTCACTCCGGCACTGACCGGCGGTGCTGGAGGGCCCAGCGGGTGGTGGAAACCCTCACAGCTTGCAGTCCTCCCAGACCTGCTCGCCCGTGGTCCCACGAGGGCTGAACTCTCGCCTGTCTCCCCCCCCAGTGAGGCTGTGGGCTCCCGAGCCGGGGCCCGGGCGGCAGGACCAGACCGCCTCGCACCCGACAGGGAGGGTGGACGGTGGCAGGCAGCCGGACGCCGCAGGGTCCTCGCTGGGCGGGGCTTGCTCCGGGGCGCCCGGCCGGCCTGTGGACCCAGGTGTGCGCGGGGGCCTGTCGGGGAAGCTGGTCCTCGGTCCTCGCAGGGCGGTCCCAGGCGGTCGGCCCAGCAGCCCTCTAACTCAGAAACGCGATTTCCAGCTGTCGGTGCAGACTCGGCTGTGTCTGCTTCCGAGCTCACCCTTCACTGGGACTCAGAGAGCAGGCCAGGGTTTCTCTCCCTGCCCCCCCGCCCCCCCTGCCCCGGGAGACTCCTGGTCCCACAGCCTGTGCTTCCTGCCCCCAGGCTGGTGGCCTTGACCGTCGTGGGCGAGCCCGAGAAAACCAGCGGCAGCTTCCTGGCCCTGGTGATGGCCAGAGCCTCGGGCCTCGTGGACGTGCAGTACGTGAAGAGCGAGTGGGCGGCCCCGGTGCCGGACGAGCAGAGGCGGCTGCGGCGGCTCCTGCAGGAAGTGCTCTAGGGGGGACCGCGGGGCGCCGTCCCCGTGGGGCCCGTCACGCGTGGGCGTGTATATTGTGTACATAGAATACGTATGTTCTGTACAGGATCCACTTGACGGAATGTCACGTCAGCGTTCCCAGAAAATAAATCACTGTTTTTGAATGGAAACACCTTTAGTGTGTCCTACACTTGAGAGGAGATACGGCCTCGTCCAGGACGCCCTTTTCTGAGGACGTCCCCACCTGTTTTCAGAGCAGCCGAGAAACAGTCTCCCGTGCGTTGCCAGCCTGCAGACTCACCGTGAACGTGCGTGCGTTCTCGTGACTGCTCTCTTCCTGCAGCTTGCCCGCCCGGCGGCCGCATGTCCTGTGCAAACCCCGGCCGCCGTGGGCGGTGTGCCCGGCGCTGCCCCCGCCCCGCAGATGCTCCCCGTCCCCTGCTCAGCAGCCCGCGGCTCCTGCCCACCCGGCCTCCGCGCTGCTCACACCGACTGCGGCCCCTCCGCCCTGGCTCTGCCTGCAGGCCCCACTCGTCCCCTCGGACCGACCCAGGGCCCGGCGTCTCCACGTAGCCCTTGTCTCCTGGAGGAGGCCGGCGTTGTCTCCCTCAAGGGCACATACGGCCCCAAGGTCGGACGGGTGGGTGGACGGGTGAGGACACAGACTGCAAACCCGGGGTGCTGGGCCCGTGTGTGCCCCCCGACCCGTGACCCCCGGCTTCCTGCCCAGGCCGTGCTGCCTGTGACCCAGACCGTGAAGTCCATGCGTCTGAGGCGACTCGAGCCCTGGCTGGGTGGCTCAGTGGGCTGAGGAGTCCCCCCATCCCTCCCCTACACTGCAAGGTTGTGGGTCCAGCTCCCAGTCGGGGCGTGTGTGGGAGAGCGAGCTCCTCGGAGCGTGCAGAACGGGAGTCGGTCAGACGGTCCGCGGTCAGACGGACGCGAGGCTCCATGCCCTTCTCACAGGTGGGAAGGTCGTGCCCGCCACTCACACTGTGCTGGGACCTGACCGCCGCAGCCTGCAGCACGCGGCGGCTCCTGACTCTCAGCGCGGGAGCGGCCAAGTGGACCCCACCGTGTCTGAGCCCAGCGCAGCAGCACGCTTCCCTGCTGCTCCCCTCCCCCTCCTCCGGGGCCGGGCGCACCGCAGGGGAGGTCGGCGCACACCAGAGGCCTGCTGGGCGGCCGGCCGGCCAGGCTGTTTCCACGAGCGAGGCGCCCACCCACCGGCCACCCCTACCACCGCACGGCCCCTGCTGAGCCTTTTGGGAAGATAAAGGAAGCGAGCGTCCTTTTCTCTCCGTCTTCCAAAGGCTGCTCCTCACCATAAAAGGCGCCCTAAATCCCCCCCGCGGCCTCTGCTGAGCCACGTCCCCGTTTCCTGGGAGCAGGGACTGACTGTGGAACTGCATTCAGGTGGCGCTCAGCGGGAGCCAGCAGCAAAGGAAAGGCCTCTGGGGTGCGTGGCGGGCGGGGGGGGGGCTGCCGGCTCACCGCCCCCAGGGTTGGGGCTGCAGCCTGTGCAGAGGAGGGGATGTGCTGTCGGAGGGTGGGGACCACGGTGGCCTGGACCAACGTGCCCCTTGGGGGGATGTGCTCCGTGGGGTCACCCAGGCCGACCGGTGCAAAGCCCTCATGGACGACTCGCACGTTCACCAGCAGGGGTAAGAGAGCAAGTCCCACTGAGGAGCATTTGAAGCCATCACGAACGGGGGAGCCTGTGTGCAGGCATCCGAGAACCCGGCCCCCCGTCCTCCGTGAGTCGGCAGGTGCAGGGATCCCGACGACAGCAGGACCGGGGTCCGCGAGGAAGAGGGAGGGCGGAGGGAGGGCCGGAGGGGGGAGCACAGACCCAGGGGATCGCACCCCCAGTGTTTGCCTCCAGAGGGGAGACGGGCAGATGGGGGGCCCGCAGAGCCTTCCCCTGTCGGAGTGAGGCTCGCCCGTCACGTCTGAGGTGTGAGGACCCCCCGGAACCGAAAACAGAGCCCCGGGAAACCTGGAGTTGTTGAAACCTGCCGTTGCCGCTGAGAAGGTGTGTGCAGCTGTTTCCGCAGCGAGAGGTGGCACTGGCTTCAGCCCGCAGCGCTCGCCCACTCCTTGCCCCCCGGCCAGGCACGTGCCCTGGTCCGCTCCTCCTCAGACCCCACTGGCCCGGCGCTGACCACTGGGAGCCGGGGCGGGGCTGGGTCCAGCCCTCTCCCACCTGCCCGCCCCTCTGCTCCTGGGAAAGCCCCCCGAGGCTGGTGCTGGCTGAGCTCCTGCTCTGGACAGCTCGCATCCCGGCCGTGGGCTCTGGTCCTCCTGAGATGGAGCCTTTGGTGGGGTGTGGAGCTGACCAGACACACGCTTCAGCTGCTCGTGGCACACACGAGGTGAGGGGTTACTGCAAGGTGTGTGCACCCGCAAACACAGGCGCACGGGCATGCACAGACACACACGTGTTCGCGTGTCCCCGGTCAGCAGGCTGCCAGGTGCTGTGGCGCTGGGTGGTCGTGTGCAGGCCCCACCCTGGGACGGGGCAGCTCGTGGCACCGGTGGGCCTGTCAGGTGCCCGAGGGCCTGGGGAGGCGTGGCCGTTTCCAGGGGCCACGGAGGTGCCGGGTGCCCACCCCGTCCTCACATCCTCGCCCCGGCGCCACCTCGGGTGTGGGGGGGGTTCCCTTGGGATGCGGCCGAGGAGCCCGGCTCCGTCCCCAGTCTGAGACCCTGGGCCCTCGCAGTGGCTTCCGACTCGGCGGACGGGCACGGAACCAGATTCACTGAAGGGCTTACCCACGGCAGCGGAGGTGCACACGTCCACAACGTTGTAACGCGACACGCTTGCTCTGGGGGCCTCTCCCGGTAACCATCAATAAACGGGTGCCTACCGGCGCCCCGCACTCCTGACACCCCCGACCTGCCTCCAGGGCGGCCAGCCTGAGGGCCCTGGGCCAGGACCGCTGTCGGCCAGCACTGCACGGGGATGCACAGTCCGTTTTTATTTATGTCACAATAACTCTCCACTGGAACAGAAATGACCTGAAGATTATTTTCTCCGAGGAGCGAGCAGGTTTGCTCCCAGCAGACCCGACGCCCTGTTTCCAGGGTGCCCTGGTGGCCGGAAGCTGCTGGGGGAGGAGCCCGGAGTGACTCTGACCGTCCATCCCATGGCCACAGGGCCCCTGGAGGGCAGGGACCCTCGAGGGCTGGCTGGCGCGCTGCTGCTGCTGTGGCCTTGGAGGGAGGGGGGGCGCCTCCGTCTGCAGGAGCAATCTCGGGGGTCCCCACCAGCCTCTGTGCCCTGCAGACAGGCAGTGGCCCTGGTGAGGCCCGGGGGTGGGAGATGCGGGGGGGCCCCCTCCCTCCCCTCCCCCCCCCTCCCCTCCCCTCCCCTCCCTCCAGGGGGCCCAGCCCCTGGCCGGGGAGAGAGACTGAGTTCAGAAACCCCTCGTCTCCTCGCACAGCCGCTGGACCCGAGTCCGGGCCAGCACACCTCCTTCCAGGGGTCGCCCGGGCTCCCCCATTCTCTGAAGGTGGGTCCGTCTGCACAGTGACGCACAACGGACAAAACCGCCCACACGCAGAATGCCGAGATGTTGGAGCTCAGTCCCCGTGTGTCCCGCAGGAGCCCCAGGCCCTGGGACGGGGCGAGCGAGGGCCCCACGGCGGCCGCGTCCCTCTGGGGCCGGGCCGGGTGGCACTAGATGACCGAGGTCTCCGTCTGCAGGAAGGACGGCGCGCGGGAGCCGCGGGGCAGGTGCAGGGTGCTCTCCGAGCCGTTCCTGGAGATGGACAGGCTGTGCAGCCTGTCGCCCCGGCCGGAGGGCCGGCCCGGGCACCGGCTCTGCCACCTTCTTCTCAGCTCGCTCTGCACCTGGGGGTCAGGAGGGGACGCTCGGGCCACGAACTCGGGCAGAAAACAGCCCCAATCCCCCTCCGGCCCTCCCTGCTCTCACCCTCCATCGAGCCCCGTCAGGTGGGCGGGAATGGGCTTGGGAAGAGGGGGGACGAGGGAGGATGGGGGGGGCGTGGTCGTGGTCGTCAGAGCCGGCAGGAGCGACCCAGACGGTGCCTGGCCCTGGCCCTTTGGACCGAGAGACCACGGACGCCGGCTGTGGGTCGCACCCGGCAGGAACGGGGGCTCTGGGTGCCGGCCGGGGCCCTTCGGGACGTCCCCACTGCCCTCGCCTCCGTGCGTGGGCCCGCGCCGCGAGGGGGCTCACCTCGCTGTTGAGGAAGCAGTAGAGCACCGCCACCACCAGGCCCTGCGGACGAGGGGGTGCGTCAGGGGCTCGGCACACACGCCGGGGGGGGGGGCGGGGGGGGCGGACGGGGGCAGGGCACCCCCCACGCGCACCTGGAAGGACCCCACGCACAGCTCAAACAGGATCTGGTACTTGGAGGAGATGCCGATGGGGAACACGGCGAACACCATGTAGTGCACGCCGAACAGGGGGATGAGCAGCAGGGTGGACTTGGCCAGCCTCCTGGTGGAGAGAAGGGCCCTGAGCAGGTGCGGCGGGGCCGCCGGGGCCTCCGGCTGGGGGCACCCCACCGTCAGCTCTCGGTCTCCAGGCCGTGAGGGCCGCTGGGCCTCGGCCGGGAGGACGCCGGGAGGACGCGGCACTCACTTGTACTGCGACTGCTCGCTGCCGCCCACGTCTGGGGACGTGAGCTTCTGCAGCAGGATCCGCACGATGCTGACGAAGAGGACGAAATTGACCTGCAGAGCAGAGACGCACGTCTGCTCCCGACCCCCTAACCGCCCCCCATCTCCCTGCGCGGCAGGCGGGCGGGTGCAGCCCTGGTGGGCGTCTAGGGCTCGGCCCCTGCGTCCGCTCCTTCTCGCGGGGATGGGGACGGGGAGGGCCCCAGGCCCTGCGTTCACGAAGGGCTGGAGCCCTGCCCAGCCTGCCTCTGCCATCCCCCCCGCCCCCTGAGTTGGGCTGGACGCCAGCGGTCGGCCGCGCCACGTAGCGGGGTCCCCGCAGCGTGCACGCGTGAGTTTTGAGAGTGAAAAGGACCAACGGGGACCTGGCTCGGCCCTCTCCTGCCCTAACAGGTCGGCCTCCTTGTGGCTCCTGAGAGGCGCCTCCCCCCACAACCAGGGGGACGCACCAGCCCCCTCTCTGCTCTGCCCCATCGTCCCGCCCGTCGCTGGGACCCCCTGGGGGAGGAGGGCAGCGCC